AATAATTTATATTTAAAAATATTTTATTAGAAAGGAAATTTAAATGAAAATTTAGTATAAAATTTAAATTTTTAATTTCATAAAAAGTAACAATTTATCACGTTATTTAAAAAAAAACTTAAAAATATAATTAATTCAGTTTTTTTAAAACATATGCCAAGTTTTAGACACATGTTAAGAAATTTAAAATAATTTTTATTAAAAATAATAATATCTATTATATTGAAATTATTTAATCTATATATCAAACATAAATTTTTATCAAAATCACATCATAAGACAATAAAGTTAATTTTATAATTCTTATGTAGATATGCATAGGTGTGGACTTTGTACATGTTATTCATTATGAGCCTCACTTGGCAACATTGATATGAAGCCACACTTGCTGATCAAGGAAATGTGGCGGTGAGGTAAGGTTTGAACTTTGACGGTAAAATTAAATGAGCAATTAATTTTTTACACTTCACCTTTCAGACAAAAATTAGGTATTTGTTTATTTTTCAATTAAAACTAAAACTTTCATATCGATAATTAATATATAATAACAAGCATAGACGTTAAAATTTAAACAAAAATAAAACATAAAAAAATAGAATATTATGTCTAAATGTTATCTATTTCCTTTTGTTCTTATGTTATATATGATCTTATTTTTCTAATAAAAAAATAAAAAAATAAAGAACAGAAATAGTGTGATCTTTAAAAATAGAGGGCAGCATAGGTATGGATTTTCCATTAAATAATGTATCTGTAATTATTAATTAGGAGCCTCGTTAGGCAATCGTACCCTTTCATACCCGCTTTTGTTCATCCACAATATGAGGCGGTGAGGTAAATAAATAAACCTTTTTCTATACTTAATATTTCGTTAAATAAACCTTTTCCTAAATATTTGCATGTAAAAATTAAAATTACTTTATTTACATAAATTACTCACCAATTATCATCTCAAAGATAAGCTTATTATATATTTTTTAATAGTTTTTAGATAATTTTTTATGCCATACTTTACTTTTGTTTTATACTTTGATGATAATTAATTTTTATAATTAATTAATACTAAGTAAACGTATTTATTACTAAATTTGTTTTTTATTAATTTAATGTGGCTGTGAATATTAATTACTAAATTGTAAAATGAAATTATTATAAATATTTTTTTAGTTTTGTCCTGTTATATATGTCTATATAATGTGTTGACCATTATTAATTTTGATGTGATTTGAGTAATAGTAAATATTATATTCATTTAGTGATAATTAATACTCAATTGAGGTGCATGCAGGGTAAACGCGATGGACTCAATCAACAGATACATATATTAATTAAAATAATAAATTCTCTGTGATAAAAATATTAGATAAGTAAAAAGGTTAGAGGTAATTTAAAAATAAAAAACTAAGAAAAGGTTTGATAAAATTAGTTGTTAAACTAATTAATACATGTAAAATGATAAAGAATATTTGAATTAATAATTGAACCAAAACTTAAATTTTGGTAATTCTATATTTTTAAGTAACTATAATTTATATTTTAATTTATTTTAAAAGTATTTATCATCTTAAAATTTAAGATGGTGATTTTAATTTTATTCTTATTTATAAATATTGTATTATATTAATACAAATATTCATTTATTTTTATTTTGATGATTTTTGTTTTAAAGAAATGACATTTGATATTTTGTTACGTAAAAAGTAATTATTTCTTATAATTTTAAATAAATTTTCTGCAGTGACGATTCTTTCGGCATTAAATGTAATACCAAAAGAAAAGTTATATTTTTAAAATTGAATGGGTAAAAGAGAGATTAAAAAAATATAAAGGGTAAAAAAAAAAAAAACTTTTAACTAGTATCTGACAACTAAAAATGTTAAATGAAGTAGCTTTTTTTTAAAAAAAACATTAGTAAATATATTTATTTCAACTACTTTAAACTAATTATTTTTATTATATAAGTTTTTAATTATCTAAAAATATTACCAATATAATTCAAATTTTATCTTATTATTATTATTTTATTTATATAATTAATTATTATTTTGTGTATTCATTTCCACACTTTCTCTCTTCAGTTCTAATATGAATTTATACTCTTCAACACTCATCTACGTATATAAATACATGATTTAATTATTATAATACTACCTTATCATTATAATATTTAAAAAATAATAAAATAATAATATAAAATATTCACTTATAGAAATAATTAAAGTTTTCGATATAATATAATTAATTTGATAACTAAAACACTACTTTATTATAATATATATTATTTTTTATAAATATTATATTATAGACTATGGAAATGTTATAATTTATATATTACTATAAATCTATAATACGTACTATAATTTCATTTACAATATTGACTAAATATAATTTTATAACGTAACATATTTATGTTAGAATAAAATTTGGTCTCTAGTTTTAATTATAAAATTAAATCATAATTTTTGTAACAATCTTATTCTCATTTCTACAATAATGTATATATATTATTGTTGTTGTTGTTTTAAAATTAAACTACTTTATATCTTTAGACTCTAACCATGGTAAGTTTTTACAGATTTTTATTTTTATTCTTTTGAAATCCTGATGATGATTTTGACAAAATATATTTTTAAAAATTTAAATTTTCAGAAATATATATTTATTCTAGTAAAAGTGAATTAAATTAATATATACTATTACTAAATTCTTCTATAAATGAAAATTTAAAAATGTCTATATGTTAATATTCTTTTTTATTTGATTTTTAATTTTAAACTTTTTCATTTAAAAAATCAATATTTTTTTATATCATATTAGTCTTCTATGATTTAAAGAATTAAAAGATTCATTTTAATGGTTTTTGTTTTATGAGAATTAAATTAATAAGATAAAAAACATCACATAAAAATAAGTTACATTGTAGTAATATGGAGTGTTCAAAATTTAAAGAAAAGTTATATAAAAATTCATCCTAGTGATTTTGTCATGATTGATAATTTTTTTTCTTCCTTAAAAACTAATGTTTAAAATGTAAAATATATATAAGAGGGTAGTCCTTGAGACTATTTAAACATGTTTGTTTCCTTCATATAATATGCATAATGTGTTCTGTTTATTTTCCTTTTAACATGAAGGTGATCTCATCTCGCCCTTTTTGGTTCATATCATTTATCATCATCCAACGTTAAACAAATTTTCATTTCCTATCACAATATACCATTTAATTACCATTTATTATCCTACACACATGCAAGACATGGCATCTTCACAGGTGTGTAAGCTTTGATAAACAACTTCTTTACCCTCTTTTTATTAGATGAATAGAACAAAAACCCATAACCCATCTTATAATTTAATGTAGAAATTGTATTAGGAAATGAGATTGAATGTCTCAGAGTCAGACCAGCCAGTCCCAAAATTTGAATGAAATAGTCTCTTTCTTCTTTCTTTTCTTATTATTTTACAGCATAAATATTTAGACAAAATAATTGATTATTCAATCGTAGTAATTAATTAGTTGGATCCAAAAAATTAATTATTTAAAATAAATAATTGATTATTTTGTTCATCCATTGTTGATCTAAAACTAGTTAGGTTTTCTTGTCAAAATAATAATAAACTATTTATAACCATCAATGGATTTTATTTTAGTTTTTGAACACGTAGCTATTGACTTTCTAAATAACAAATTATTTTAGCTAAATAAATTATTCCTTCATAAAAAAAAATGCTTCCTAATTACTTATTTCATTCCAACAACAAATTATTCAATTCCAAATCTTAAACTTTGAGATTAAAAAAAAAGTGAAAATCATTCTAAATCAATTCTAAAATGTTTCTAACAAAATCAAATAACTTCAAATCATGAAATTCCTCTTTAAAGAAATATTAGGACTTCAAATTACTCTAATGTTCACATCAAACTCAAACTTTTAACGGATTATTACATGATCATTTATTATTATTATTATTGGGGAATCAAACATGTTCCTAAAAAAAGGTTTATTATCCAATGACATGACCAACTCATAACACATGGCTTTTTAGAAAAGTAGCACATTAATTGCATTGCACCCAATATTGCATGCAAAGAATGAGTTCAAAAAGGCCAACACATTATTCTTTAAGGATTCAGGCAACACTATGGGACAAAATATTGCATGCCAAGGCATACCAGCACAAAATCCCAATTTTAAAAACGTATAGTATGGACCTGGAGGCAACACTCTATACACTCCTAGACACTTTGATTAGTATAGATTAGTTGATTATGTTTGCACATTTTCTACATGTAAAAATTACATATTCTACAACTCAGTCTCCCAAACTTCACTGAGATGAAATTATTTTTATACATAGGTGTGCCATTAATAATGCATTATTTTATATTAATGAGTTTAATTCATGCTAATTTTGAAATTCTTTCCAAGTTGCTTAAGCCATTCATTTGTATCTTTTTACCAATTTTCATCCTTGAATAAATGGACAATTTAAAATGACAATAGAAGATATGTTTTGTGCTTATATTCTAGATCATGGACAAAGTTAAGGTCAATAATTATCTTGAATATAATAACAAATAACAATTATCAATCTAATATACAAATGACACCACTTGAGGTGTATGATAAACATCGTAGATCACTAACAAAATAAAGTAGAAAAAGTTAAATTGATAGGTCCAAAATTGATTAAAGATATAATTAAAAAGGTTAATTTAATTTAGTTTAGTCTATACAGTGGTCAATTATCAAGTTTTGGATCGCAACACTTATTATGTATATATAAATTAAAAATAATAAAATAAATAAATTTTTTAAAATAAAAATTGTTAAGCAATCAAAATCGCATATTAACATTCACAAAGAACAAATACAAATAAATATTATCTCTCAGCCACAGCACATGGCCAAACTAGAGAAAAATGAGTCACGTGATGAAGAAGACAATAGAAACTTTCCCTTTATATACCACTAACCTCTGACCGCACCAATAAGTTTCTCCCTTTCTTTCTTCCTTTGAAGGAATAATAACTTTGTTTCCGTTACGTTCTGTTATTTGCAGAAATGGGAACCTCTGTGCTTTCCTCTCACGATTGTCTTCAGCCTCGCTTACGTCACCATGCCTTCTCCCTCTCCGCACCTTCCGTCAGATCACAGACAAACCCTAACCCTATCCCTAATTCCAACCCTAACCATAACCAGACTCGCCGGCGGAGACTCTACGACGGCCATTTGTCCGGCATGGTCGTCAAAGGCCCTGGCGCCAACCTCGTCATGGGCCAAGTCAAGATCCTCAAGAGAGGCGAGAAGCTCAGCCTCGAGGATGGTGGCACGGGCCGTGTTGATTCCAGCTACGAAGGTTTCGATTTGGTGTTGGGATCAACGGATCGCTTGGGCCCGGATCCGAGTTCCGTTCCGGTCCCCGGATTCCTCGGGAAGAGAAACGGCGCCGCTGCTACCACCGGATTGAGGCGCTTGCTGCGCCTCGATTTGGCGTCGTGATGACGATGATGATGGTGAGGATGATCGGTTGATTGGTTCTGTTGTTCAATTTCGGTGTTGATGATGGTGGATCGCACGTGAGATGTCACGTAAGAGTGGTTGTTGGCGACTTTCATATGATCGCGGGGTCTCGACGAGCTTCCTCTATTTTTTCTCTTGTGGATGACCGTTGGATACGAGCGAACGAGGAAAAACGATGAAAATATTTGATGGCGAAAGGGTAAAGCTTGTAGGGGTCATCAGCGTTTAAATTTAGTCCCTTTAGATATTTGATGAAGGGTTGAAGCAGTTTGAGAGAAGAAAATGTTACCCTCTTGTAAATTCAGCATGCCACGTTAATCTAGAATTTGAGTTTCTATCTAGTGTGTGTGTGTGTGTGTATTTAGACTGTTCCTACTTTAGATTTTCGTAGAAGTTTGTTGTCTTGGGTTTGGCTTCGTGAATGTGTTAGGTGTTTTTGTCAAATCATATACTGGAGCAGTTCGGAAAATTGATGCAATAAAATTTCTAGTATTTGTGCAAGTACTATACCCTCTATTGGTTGTATGTGTCGTATGACATTTGAGCTAGATTTACCATTTTCAGTGGTCATATCGTGAAGGGCGGGTGCTAAAATATCTAAAACTTTTGCCAATTTCTAAACAAATACAAGAAAACCGAATGATGGTGATTTTAGTTGCTTACCGAGCGAGTTACTCTGCTTGCACTCAGTTTCTTGATTGTATAGTGTGCGTGATTTGGTTTTTAAACGGGTGGATTGTAACTTTCTCCTCATGATATCAATTAGAAGTTTTCTAAACATTGGATGCTTTTTATATTCTCATGATGTTAAATGCTCCACTATCTTTATTTAGTAACGGGTGGATATATGATGTAATCACTTGGAGGATATGGTAAATTTTTGCATGGCCTTTGCCAATGAACTTTACTACCCGTTATGCTAAATTCGCCAAGCATAAAGGAACTTTAGTTTTTGTGACCCGGAAAATAAGATACGAATACCAGTCGCACTTCATTTGCGAATTCCTCTTTTTCTGATCTCAGTAGCAGGAAAATTTTGCTTCTCGTTTGTAATTTCTTACTCTGTTGTAATTTGCATGTGAGATCTATTATGAATTCGGGCAACTGGATGCTAACACTTTGAGCTTCGGAATTTCCTTAATTAAACCACATACTGCTTTTGCGTTGATATTGAAGAATGACCGCGTAATCCTTTTCGCATGTTGCATCGTTACCAGGGCCATTAAAGGCATTTTTAGGTTCTTCACTTCTATGATTATCTCCAATTTGGAACAATTACTTTTTCGTATCACTTTCTTTTTAGGCATCATTTCTAAGAATTTAATTTTGAAATATACTAAATATCTTTTAAAAATGAATTCTAGGAGCATTTTTTGTAAATTATTATTTTCAAAAATTTAATTATGGAATATATTAAGAACTCTTCGTCCAGGATTTTCGAGTGCAAGATGATACACAAATGTAACTATTTCACTATTGTCATTTTTAACAGATACACAAATGTAGTTCTCAACTAGCTCTCTTAATAAATTATAATTTTATAGTTTACTTGATGACACCATTAACATTGGTAAACTTTCGTGGTCTACATGCTTTACTTCAGTTTCTAAAATGCTCCATAAGCAAATCGATAACATTTATCATTCAAGTAATTCAGCTACTAATACTACCATCAGTTATCAGGCAGTATCCTTTTCCAGAACCAGTGCCTTCTCCACATAAATGTCATCTCTTCAATAGGAATCCCTTTGGTTTCAGGTAGGAACACATAAACAAATATGGTCATAATGGTAATCCAACCAGCAAAGAAGAGAAAGATTCCAAACTTGAATGAACAGAGAAGAGCAAGGAAGGCCTGGGCAATTATGAAAGTGAAGAGAAGGTTTACAGCAACTGTGATGCTCTGCCCTGCTGACCGGATTTCCAACGGAAATATCTCACTTGGGATTGTCCAGCCAAGTGGGCCCCATGACCATCCAAAAGCCAAAACAAATAGGCAAATCACAAAAACAACCAATATTGAAAAGCCTTTGGACAATTCTTGGTTTTCTCCAAACTTGATCCCCAAAATTATGGCCACTATAATCTGCTCATAAGAAAAATGAAAGTAAAATCAATTTCTTCGCAAAATATAGTGAACTGCATCTCCTCTCAGATTGTAAACATTTATAATAGAAAAACCACTTTGCCACAGTACTGATGCTTTTGTTAGCCTAGAACACAGGTATCCTCCCCAAGATATAATCTGACAAATTATATCTAAATGTTATCATTTGTACCTTTTATTTCATACCCTTTATAGGAACCCCATACTATGATATATGTTAACAAAATGACCCCTTTAGATCTTCATCTAATGAGTTCTGAAGTTATGAATCATGTAAAATGAGTGGTGTTGTGGTCTGGCTTCTAGGCTCCAGCATTATTTCTCAATTTCATGGATATTTTAAACATGATTAAAGTTTCTCTTACCTGGCATGTGATCATTTGTATTCCACCACTGATAAGAAGAACTCTCCTGCCCAATCTATCTACTGTTGCAATGGATATGAATGTGGAAAAGGCAAGAACTCCACCAGTCAACGCTGAAGAGTAGAGCGATGCGTCACCTGCAAATCCCATGCTTTGAAACAGCACTGGAGCATAGAAGAGAATGGAATTTATGCCAGTAAGTATCTGGAAAGTAGGCATGAAGATTGCCATCACCAACTCTGGCCTGTTCCTTCTTTCAATTATGTTACGAAATGGGTTCTGTATTGAGTTTGCCAACTCACTTGCATCAACCATATCTTGAAACTCTGCATCAACCTCGGTAGTTCCTCTGATTTTTTCTAGCAGCTTCCTTCCTTTTTCTTTTGATCCTCGTTCTATTAAGCTGTTTGGAGTCTCAGGAAGAAATATTCCTCCCACTGTCATCAAAAGAGCTGGTACTGCAGCCAAGCCTAGGGACAGCCTCCAACCCCAAGGCTTGATCCGCTGCGTTCCATAATTGACCATGTTAGCTGTGAAAATCCCAAAAGTGGTTGCTACTTGAAACATCATGTTCAGGCCTCCTCGAAGGTGTGTCGGAGCCATCTCGGACAAATAAAGCGGAATAGCCTTCAAAAGAATCACCAAGAGCAGAGTTTTTCAACTTGTAAGCTATAACTGAATTATCTTCTAACTCAAACATAGACTGTTTTCCATCACATTACCACCTTTATTTTCCTGTAAATTTTATTAATTCATGTTTAAATTTCCATCATTATTGTTAGCACTTGCACCTCTCAAGACTTTTGATACTTATTTATTAATTTATTTATTTTTGGGGGGGAGGGGGGATAGTCCACTTTAGAGATAGGCTTTAAAGAGAAAAAAAAATTTCTCCTTTTACCAATTGTTTACACTTTAAAAAGAAAACAAAGTTTGTTTCTGCACAACGATGATTGATCATAGATTAAAGAAATGTGTTACTACCTGATTTCCAAACCCAATGCCAACACCGAGCATAACCCTGCCTAAGATCAGCATCGCCAGGTTAACAGCAGAAGCATTCAAAGCTGATCCAATAAGAAAGCTGATACCACCGCCTATGATACTTGCCCTACGTCCATGCCTCCTTGTAACGGGAGATGCCATCAAGGATGCAATTAAACCAGCAATGTATAGCGAAGATGTAAATGCAGCAAGGCCCTGATTGTCATACTTGCAGTAGTTGTTTTCATGCGCATGCATCTTATGTCTGTATACTGAGGGGAAGAAATCCTTAAGAAAATCATCCATTGAAGTAACCCCCCCTGTTGACCATAAAACATGCTTGAGAAATTCTGAACATTAGTGTTAGAGAATTTTAAGTTTAGGTTCCAAGGAAAAAGAAAAAGAGAGATGATTAACTGGTTAACCATAAGGCTAATTTTCTTATTAAGATTGCTACTTGTCAATTAGTACTTACTAGTAGTTGGTATACAAGCTCAAGTCCACTAAGAATAATATTAGAACCTATTAAAATAAGGACACAGATGAAGAAAGATATTCTAAGCTAATCTGAATATATCTTAAATGTTATCCGACAATAAGGAGACAATTTTCCCTTCCTCTGCTCTTTACAACATGAGTTCTCAAGGATGTTGAAAAAATTAACTACACAGTTGAGGCTTTATATTGCATATTATAAGACAGCGGTCCAACACCAACATGGCTTCTCCTGTTGACTGGTTTGTGTATTTATGTGATACTAAATTTTTTTAATTGCTTTTGTGATTCTGAACTCAAATTTGGTAGTTCAATATTTTAGATGATGAGTTCGTTAATGATTCCAAGACGTTCATAACCTTGCAACATGAAGCATACTTGCTTTGTGCAGTATAAGATTAAGTGGGATCTAGTTCCTATTCAATGATTGACAATAAGGAGCGAGTAGAGAGTCTGATTAAGAACTGAGAACTCCAAAATACTGTTAAAGCGTTTTGAGATTTAATTGGAGAAGTTTCTAAATGTTCTCTCACCAAAACTTGATTCACAGCATTTGCTATCTCAGTTGTGGGCCAAGAATTTGGCGATATCAACTATCAAGCCATTTTAGTGTTAGATAGAGTTTGCTTCACTGGGAAAGTGAAAGACGGGGCAATTCATCTAGGGTCTAACTCTATCTACCACTGCAGCTAAGAAATTTGAGAATTTGGGAAGATTGAAGAGAACCCGCTTTTAATTATGCTGCTTGAGGTCATTATTAGGTTCCAGAATCAGAAAAAGGATGTTAAAAATGCAAGCAGAACAAATGGAAAATGTTATGGATCTGCATGCAACTTTGAATCTTGAATTTCTAAAGCAGAATCTTTGATGAGATATCCAACTCATGCAAGTTAGATGTGGTACCAACTCTCATGTTTGAGCTTTTTTAATTTAATAGCTTTATAGAAAATAACCACTAGGCATCTGAATTTTCATTATGGCTTATGAAAGAACCTAAACATGGGAAACAGAAAACCATGAAACATCTAATTCAGAATAAGGATTATAGAAGAACCTGAAATCCCAATATCATAGCCAAAGAGAGACCCCCCTGTGGCAGCAACAATGCAAGCGATGATAACGTAAGCAGTGACTCTTCCTTTGTATTGTTCTGCCCTTTCCTTGGTCACAGTATCAGCTGTGAAAGACCCTCCAGCCATTTCCTCAATTCTCCCTTCTCAAGGCGCAGTGGCACACCAAAGGAGAATTTTTTCATCATTCTCTTGTTGCTCAAAGTTTATACAAGTCATATCATACCAACCCATTTTCTCAACAAAGATAGAAAATGATTTTATGAAAACGTTTACTTGTGATCGAAATTACACCGTATTTAATGCTTGGCAGTATGTGCACGGGTGGGACACTTCGATGTCATCTATATTTTATCCTTCCATTGCTCCAAAGAATTGACCATAATTCATGAACATGTAATGTATTAGACCTTTTTTCTTTTGCAGTGTTACCCAATTACTCTTTCACATATATGGGTGATATTTTATCACAATCCAATGCAAATCTTGAGAAATCGGAAATGTGGTGTCTGTATTCCTACAAATATCTGAATAACCATTGGGTTAGGTGCCGTTAGTTTTCGTAATATTGTATGTTATTTATTTGTTTGGTTAATTTCCATTTTTGTTTGATAGGTTCGCATAAATGGTAGATTTGGTCTTGGTTGCCTTTTCTTGTTTCTTGTAACTTTTAGGAAAGAAATGATAATAATAATAATAACAACACTTTGCCTTTACATCAAAATGTAGAGCGTTGAATGAAAAATAATAAATTTTACTATCTCAGCTTTTGAGGTTAAATAATTAACAATAATTTAATAAAATTTTGTCTGATATAATAAATATTTTATATCTAATAAAATTTTACAATTTAAAAATTAAATTAATAAAATTATAAAAAAATATTTTTAATATGTGTGTAGTAATATATCATAAAAATTAGTAAATATTTATTAAAAATTTGAATAAAAATCAAGTGTCTTCAAATACACATTAAAAAAATGATAACAAATAAGAAATGGCATGGGTATTTTATGTTTATAATGTATTTTGTGTAGTGGAGGGCATGTGGACGTGGTTCTTAATTTGATGATGCAAGTTCTTAATTTTGTTTGAATAGCTTTTAATGACATTTTTTCTATCATATCTGACTTTGGTGCAAATCGGTATCCCATTTCAGAGTTTCGGGTGTCATCTGATTTGTTCGTATGTGAACCATAGAACTTTTCAAAAGCTAATAAATAAACTACCATACTTTGTCAATAAGGATACCAATTGTGTGACACTGTGTTTTATTGCTTCAATTGATTTTAATGAGTTGCTAGTTTTAATCATGTTAAATATTTTAGTCTTTATATTTTTATAAATTATTATTTTTAATTTAGTGAATTAAATCAATAATAAAAACTAAAAGTAAAAATTTGTAAAAAATAAAAAATTAATTTATTAGATGTGATGTTAAAAACATATTTAATTTTATATCTTATTATTTAAAATAATTTAATTTGAATTGTTAATGTTCAGAAATGAAATTAATAAGACTCTTCCGAACGTTATTTATGTCTGAAGAAAGTATACGAGTAAGAATCCATCCAATGCAGCACATTTCAAAAAGATGCAAAAATTAAATTAAAAATGTTATACAGAATTAATTTGATGGATAAATAGTTATTAGAGTGATAATAAATGTAAATTATATAAATACTAAAAACTTTTCAACTTTACATTAAAAATAGTAATCAACAAAATTTATAAATATTTTATTATATTTAATGCTACTTAAATAAATTTTAAGTATTAATTAATAAAATTATGCTGGTTTACAATATTATGCTTCGTTTAACTTTTATCGTTAGACGTAGTAACTTTTTTATATTAGTTCATGCATCTAGGAATAGGTTGACTAAACTTTACAAATTAATTATTCTTAAATTTTGTTTTGTTTAAGGATCAAGATGAGATAATAATAATAATTCATCTAGCTAATTTTTTATGTTTAGGTGCTTATTTTTTCTTCATCTAATTTCGACAAGAAGCAAACCAAATTGTAAATAAGTAATCTTAAAAAAAATATTGCACAACCAAAAATATTAGGTTTAACGAACTGTACAGGAGAGTTCTAATGATAAATTTTCTAGTCTCTCTATGTTGCTATCAAGAGCACCATTATTGATATTTGCGTGTAAATTGTGTTTGTGCATCTCTCAGGAGGAGGAGAGCTCATGTTGCAAAGAGATCATAGTAAGTAAAATCTCAAAGTTAGCAATTTTCTCACTTTTTCTTATTCTTTGTCTGATTTCAAAATTAGAAAATTATTGACTAGTAATATTATGAAATTTACGATTTGATTAGATAAATACAAATAGACAAAAATTAGTAATTATAAATTGAAATGCAAATTTTACCTCCCTTATTACTCTTTTATTGATCTAATAACTTTTCATTAATTATAAATAATATAATTATGTAACTTTATTAGTAAATCATAGTTAGTAAAAATGAATTGAAAATTAGCTCGCAAACTTATTCAAAAGAAAATTTAAATACCACTAAATCTTTTACTATCTTTTCATTAATGTATTTAATTATTATCATTTTAATTGTATTGCATAAAATAAATAACTAATATTCAATATTTAATATTTAAATCACTGAAAAATGTTTATAAGAATATACAATAATTTAATTAAAATATTGAATGACGACAAATATGGTTTTTTTTTCTTTTCGTGCAAGACACACTAATTTTATTTTATATTGATAAAATAAAATTATATTAAAGTATTTTAATATCTAAAATATCATCATATGTTTGTTAAATTATTTTAATATTATATTTAAAATAAAAGGCCAATGCATTGCAAGGGTAACTTACTAATAAATTAAAGACAAATTTGTGTTGTTTATTAAGTGTTTTTTACTAATTTTTAATTAAAATTAAATTTTTATTATAACAAAAGATGATATTTAATATAGTAAAATTCTAATTTTAATTTTTTTAAAATAGCATAAAAAGCACTTAAAAAATTAAACTTCAATTTTTTTCTTGAAAGTAATAAGAGAAATGCTTAGTAACAAACTTCTTATAACACGTTCTTTTTTATTTGTCTATTTTCTAAAAAAGCCAAAGCACTTACCTAAAAAATTAATCACTTAAATACAGGTTTGCGAATATTGAGTCCTGCTGCGACCTTCTACCAAAGCACGCTGAGGATGACGTAGATGGTTTGGTTTCAAACCACAAATTAAAGCTTTAATAGTGGATTTGAAGCTTGATTAAGGCACTAGCTGTACTCCTTGCCTAACTGGGCCTTTGGCAAGTTGATGGATGTATTGAAATTTGAAAGACTACTTACAGAGCATGGTAGGAACAGTATTATTCAATCCATTTACGTGATAGAAACGTTAAACGACCAATTGCCACCCTCTGAGGCTATGGATAGGGACTCTCTTTCCTTTCTTTCCCTCTCTAATTAACTCATTGAAACAAGTTGATGATATAAATTCCCAAAGAAATGGAAGGGGCTACATGTCTTGAATTTATAAAGAAAATTTCATAATTCTTATTTGCAATATGTGCAAGGTCAGCCATGGAATATTATTAGTCCAGTAAAAGGGAATTCAATATATTATTATTACCAAGATTCACAAGCAAGCCAAAACAACTCATCCAAGCCATCAAGAAATACGATCTGATAAGCAACTTGCATTAAATTGAGCATTTGACTATCCAGTAGTAATACTATTAGCACATATGCCTCACCAGTTACGTAACCTCAAGAAAAATAACTGATTTCCGATTACATAACTACACTCAGAAGGTCAACACAATTCCCAATTCTTTAAGCCCCCATTATATTTATTGATGTAGTTGTTTATAAATAAAGCTGTTCCACCCGATGCCCAAAAGCTTAAAATCATTTATAATTTGAAAAATCTTTTAAAACCTTTAAGTCCCCCTGTCTTTTGCTCATAATTCTAAACAAGCTGTTCCACCACCAGCTAGTTGTAGTACAAGCTCTGACTTTGACACTTTCCTACAATCATACAGCTAATGATCATCGCTCTTCAATAATATTTACATAGAAAACCAAAGACTTTGATACTCTCTCGCTGCTTTCCAGTATGCTCAAAGTATACCACTCAAGAAGCCCCTGCAGAATGGGCAGAAACATCAATATACAAAAAAAGTTTAGCTTGACATAACTTACAATAAAGGGAATGAAACTAATAGTAGACCAAGGATAGAAGCTACTAACCAAATTCCTGAGGCTTTTCTAGTTTCATTACTGCAAAATTGTTTGACAAACAATTCAGTGGAATTGTTTTTTGTCAAGCTTAAATGCTACATAAGAAAGTTTATATAAGAATGACATCTGTTACCTGGGTTTCCCTTGAAAGGCATCATTAATTTCATCTGTAGTAGGCCTCTGCGGAAATGTAGACAAAGTAACATACTTCTCCTTTCCAGGTGATTCATCTACCCTCTTATACAGCTCATATGGGTATGGATAAGACATCCTAAATCACAAGAAGTGAATTTGTAGTACCATACGTGATTAATACTGGTAGAAGATAGAGAACCATCATTCATGCCTATGTATTTTGAGCATATCAGATAGTTACATATGTAAATTGGTTATTTCAAATAAGGAAGGAGCTCCGGGAAAAAATTTTAATCATAATAAAAATGTTTTATGTTCTGCGTTGTTAATTCAATCATCCAGCCACCTCTTGCATAGAAGGAAGAGAATATATTTATGTTTACTAATAGTGCCAGACTGAAGAAACTTGAATCAATTTGATTCGTTTCTATGGACATGTATATTACGGTCTTTAATTTTTTCTATAGTTCTCTAAAAGCCTTTTTTTAATGATTATACAATCTCAATAGTAGTTTTAGAGGCTACATTCTGTGAACCAAGCCAAGACAAGCATGGCAGTTCAATGTAACTTTCTCAGTCCACTACACCTTCATTTCTCATCTAAATCAAGCGATGGCCCATATGATTAACAAAAATCTTAGTGTAGCATATATATGTTGCCATCTAACCTGATAGCTCCCATTATAGGATACTGGGTTCCTGCATAATACAGAAGCCGAAAGAAGTAGCAACTTTCAAATGTTGCTGCATACTTGAGTCTCTGGTCCCTTCCCATTGTCTATTGATTAAGAAGGCAAAGTTATAACCAGAATTTTTCTAGAATAAATTGTAAGCTTCAACTCGCTGGTTTAGTACTCACTTGCATAATACCACTAGAACCAGGTAAATCCTGAATTCATAGAAACATGTCAGTTTTATAGACTAAAATAACTGAATGTAAAAATATTGTTTAAAAAGAGGTTGCAGGTTACAGCATAGAGAGTAAAATGGTGCCAGGGAAGACCATGCAATCAAAGATATTCTACGCTAAACTAAGTCTCTGTGTATGTTCTATAGATCTCCTTTCCTAACTAAGGTTAGTCTAATTGATGGTTTCACCAACTTAAAACAGTGATAGTGTTGAACAGATTAGCAGAAAAGTAGCAAGACATAATTTACTCAATTTTGCTAAAATAGATGTTGAAATTTAATATAGACCCAATTGTGCCCGACATGGTGCTAAACTGAGTTCCCCACAGCAGTCTGATAACGTAAGATTATTCTTAACATCTAAGAATTGAAACTCAAGATATAACCCAAAAGAACCTATTCTATTGTAAAATGGAAAGGCCTGAAATTGCCACTAATCATGAGATTTCCAATATTCTTTCCAGTAGTTTTATACAACCATTCAGTTATTCAAAAAGCAGGTGGAAATCATGAAAAACCATTTCTCAGCATGAAATTGAAGATACAAGGATAGACTATTAGGCAATTAGTTTCTATGCATAAACTGGTTATATGAAATCCATGTTACAACGAAGCTAGGTCAACCACACATGTTATAAAGTTGACACTGTACAGAGTATATCATGTTTGGATTATCTTCATTTCTCTAAATCATGGTAATCTGAAAAGCAAGCCTAAATCATACAATTGTTTCGTGAAACAAATCTGAACTATGAGATAGAAACTAGAAACTGAACCTTGAGCCTAGGATTGATTAGGATAACAGGTCTGTGTTCAGCAGCATTGGTCATGGCTCTTAGATCCTGTATATACAACCTCAAGGGTATTAAAGAGAAAGGTGAACAGCTTGGTAACGTTGGAAAAAGCATGTCAATATCCATCAAGAATAATGTAAAAGAAAAGGCCTCAAGAGATGATATCTCTAAAATATGTCTGACAACTCTCACTCTATCCTCTTACATCAATAATACAATTCCCTACAGCATTTTGAGGAGCCACCAAGATATACATGTCATCTTGCTCCTCAACCTCTGCAGCACCTGGGAATGGAAATTCACAAGTTAATGCTATGCCAGTATATCATAACCAGAAGGATTATTATGTAAGTTTAGCCAAAGGGAAAAGTTAAATAAATATTCCCAATATGAAGTTACGAAGCAATAAATATTTATTTTTTTTCCTTTTATAGGACATACATATATAATGGGCGACTTAATTTTTTAACTTGGTGGGTGCAGGTTAGGATGTATAATGAGAGTGAATAATGACAGCTATCATGTCAGTCAGTTTGTCCATTGGTTAGTTAATCAGTTTGAAGAGACTGGTTATAAATGGGAGAAATCAGATTGGGGGAGGCATTCTGTGAATTTGATAGATTAAGTGAAAGGAGAGATCCTTAGTAAAGGGAAAACCCTTGGAGAGAATTCTATTTAGTATTTTCCTTTGTCTGTTCTGTTCTTCAATAAAATTGTGTTCTTTTGGATCTTTCTGTCTAGTTTCCATATTATTTTGTCTGGGTTTATATTCATGCAGGAATTCCAAAATGAAGCTGAAGGAGATATTCACATTGTTCCAACATATATTAGTAAAATGTTAAACATCTTGAAGTAGCGATAGATAAATGGATGGCCAAGCATATAAATGGAGAGAAGTAACAGTAGAAGTTAAGCTGGAATCATCAATACCCAAAGGTTTGCAACAAGACAAGTGGCATTAAATCAAAAGCTGTCACAGGTCATTGATATACCTATAGAACCAATATTGATGAAGGTCCCTTTAGCACCATAATCACCCCAATCCATGAACTCTAAAATCTTTCGACTTCCAGCAAGCTGCAATGGCATTCCAGCTAGAGCACCTTCTCCCATTGACCCTTGTACACAAACCTACAAGATGAAATTGAAGATAGTTTAAATAAAAAGAAACATGTCCAACATTTACAGATAATAGTACTGTTTTATTCTCGACACATTGAAACTGTCTATGTTGGAGTGAAAGGAGTAAAGAAGACACCTTAACACGTTTTCCATCATCAGCAAAAGAAAGAGCAAGAGCTCGAACAAGTTCCATCAAGGTACCTATTCGATAAACATCCTGTAAACAACAATATGCTGTCAAATCAAGACAAAGTTAGAGAAAATAAAATGAAAAGGATGTCCATACCATTTCAGGGTTCAGTTCAGGAATGTTGATGTCAACCTGTTTGATTTGGAATTACAAACAAAGCAGATATCAGCTCAGGCCCCAAAGGCATTAAAAATAATACCAGTCAACATACAAGGAAAAAAGTTAAATATTTTTATTTCTGACCACCCCCCCTTCACTCACCTCAGTAATCAGTTATGCTATTACTCTCTCTAAGAATATTCTGCATGCAAAAAGAATGTTGATTCTTATTACTTATGTTTTATCTTTTTACATTTCAAAGTAGAACATTCTTCTTAGGACCCAAATGAGTAAGAATGCAATGGTCAAAGGTATTGCACAGATCTAGTCACTCAAATGATAGGAAGCACTGACAAGGTTACAGACTACTGTACTGAACTGATAATCATGTTATACCTTCAACCTAGTTTTTCCATCATTGATAGCCCTCTGTGTAGCTTGTAGCACATCATCATAGAAATATTTCCTGATTTCTCGAGAATGGGGAATGTTATTCAGTCTAGTAGGAATCCCTCTCCACTTACCCTGTAACAAGCTAAAACAAAATAAGAAACAATATACGAAGGAGGCTTTCATAGCACTTAAGGGAGGAAAAATATTCAAAATAAAGAAACCAATCCCTTCTACGAAATATAACCATCTACCTGGCTCAAAGATGTCTGTCCTTTTGTACCAATAATTGATTTATCTGAATTAAAAGAAGTTAGTAAATGATCATAAAAAAATATGATGTCTGTGCTTACTTCATATCTACTTCATACCAAACCCCATGTCAAGACGCCCAAATACAATTAGCGTCTCATTCACAAAGTAATGTGTGCTCTCATATGATAACAAAAAGCTGAATACAGCAAGGAAGTTATTAGCCACACATAGTCACAAAAGTTATGCTTAATTGCACTTGTAGTATCTCTACAATGACTAAATCACAAATGTGTTCCCCAAATAAGTTTCAGCTCAAATTTAATCCCCCAAAAATATTTTTGCCCAAATTTAACCTTCAATTTTTTCAGTTAAAAGCAAAACTTTTGCCGGTGGCTACCTAAAAACTTCAAATCCTCATCTTCTACTCAAACTAAACTAATTAAGTGTCTGTTTGTATTTCACATGTAACACCATTTGATCGCTGCAAATTCTTTTAGCATTGATAAAAATTACATCGTATGGTGTGTTTTCTCATCTAACCTTTGTGGCAAGTCATCCAATCAGGCCCTAAAACTAATTTAAACCTTCTTCCTCTCCCAATCAAAACATCTTATTTGACCCAAAATTGAAAAAATTGCAAAATTCCCCCTTCTTCAAAATCTTCATCTTCATCTCACTTTTAACAGAATTGATTTGAGTTTCATTAAATTTTCACCCAATTCCAGATTCTGAACCATTTGCAAAGTATCTTATCCCAAATTTGTCCTAAAACCCTAAATATTTGAATGGAAAATGAGTTTTCAGAGGATTTTCGGAAAATGAAAAGTTATAGAAAGGTTAGAGACAATTAATAAAATGGGGAGTTAAATTGGAACAAAAAGTTAATAGAAAACCAAAATTTTACATAGCTATTGTGAAACAACTAAATGTGCTATTAAGCCTTAAATTTATTTAGTAAATACCATATCAAGATTGAGAATTTGGAACACACTTCCTGGTAAGTTCATGAATGACATGCCTTCAAAATATAAGGATTTGTATGATTTAAGAAAAATGTTTTATATTTGGAAATAGTTAGACACTTTTATGATTATTTGTGAAAATAAAACGAAATAGAAAATCTTGTCCCAAACCACAGACTCTAAATTTACAATTCCCTACAAACATCTCTTGGGTGAAGTTTGACACATGCTCTTGAAATTTCTTACCTCCTGATTTCATCAATTTGACTTTATCCTGATGCAATTGTGATAGTAAAGATTCAATTTCTTCGAAAACTACTTCTTTTGAATGGTTGCCATCAATCTGTGTATATGACAAACATGTTAAAAGTGAGAGAATGTCCCACTGGACACTGGTTCACATCAGGACATAAGACATATAGGAATGTTAATAATCTCCAACGACCTTATGTGTTATGTTTGAGTAAGAGGAAGATACTGCTTCTGCATTTTGCTTATATATGTTTAGGCGAGATTTGACCTGAAAAGAAACAGAGTATACATAAAGTACTTCACAAGGATACTTGGTCCACTTAATTGCTACTAGGAAAAATGATATCTCAGAACAATGCAACAGAAGCTCAATAAATCGTATTTTTCTGTAAGATTGTAGAAATGAAGCACAAACATGCACAAGGAGCAAAAGATAAACTGAAGAAGATATCTAAAAAACATCAAGATGCTTAGATCATGACATCGCAGGCTTCTAAAGACGTTTCACTGTATTTAAAAGCTACATGCACTGATCCTTTAGAACTTCTCCCTTTTCTAGCATCAACCATAATTCAACTGTTTGTATAACTTTGGACCCTGAATGCCTGTCACTAGAGAAGGAAATTTAATAAAGGAAATGGTAACCCCCCCAAAGTTGCAGCAATAGTTAGAGAAAAGAGAAATCTCAAGTTATATGTAAATGCAGCATGCATTTAACAGTTCATATGTATGAGTGACAGAATCCTTTTGATGCAATAATGAAGACCAATAAAACAAACATCTGTCCTTAAAACTGATCTTATGCATGTAGAAGTAGTACATTTTTACTGGAAAAAAAATATTTACCTTCTTGTTTTCTCAATACAAGAAATGTTTTTGTTTCTAATAAAAACTTAATACATTTAGTAGCTTAAAATAAGTCCCAAATAACATTTTCCTAAAAAATATAAAAGAGAGCGTAAGTTTCCATACTTTCTCTTCGGTGTCATCAGGACGAGTTACCAGCCTTGCTTTGATTTCTTCAGTCTCCGGTGGAAAAAATTTTAGATGATATATCTTCCCTGTCACTGGGTCTAGCCTTCTACCAACACATCTGTCGATCAGAATTTCATCAGGAACCTGAGTATTTGAAATTTAATAACTTAGCAAGGCAAATGAAACTATTTGTTTCTGAATAATATCTATATATTACATATATCTCCAGGCCATTAAGTAACATGTAAATGTAAATTATGTCAATATCTGAATTCACTTCCTCACATCACATCTAATATAAACAAGTGTCTTGCTTACTAGTTAAATAATCAATAAATAAAAATAACAAATTATGTTGGACGTGCATTATAAACCATAAGGAAAGTATGTCGTTAAACTTATTAATAAAAAAGTTCTACTTTCGATTTCTCAACTGATGTCCTGAACATATACATGGGTTAGTATTTGTCAGCAAATACCAAAGCAATTTGTTGGATGAAGTTAAGAATATACTTCAAGACTAAACAATCTACAAACTTGTTTATTTATTCACAACTTAACAAAATATGAGTACCTCATTTAGTAGGTCACATTTGTTGGAACCGTGCGAAACTTTTAGTAAGAAAAAAAAAACAAATAACAAATTTTGCAGAAGAGGTTTCGGAAAGAGGAAATAAATAAATAAATTTTAGAAATAAAGTTTTATTTTGACATACATCTAATACGATATACACATCGGGTCGTATCTGCATTTTCTCTAGACTCTGAGCTTGGCCCAAACTCCGAGGGTACCCGTCGAGAAGCCACCCTTTTTGCTTTGCATCTTCGCGAGACAATCGCGCTGCCACCATCTAAAAAAAATATATATATACAATAAACAAAGCACACATTTCATCACACGAAAAGGGAACAAAATCAAACTCCAAAGCGTGCAAATTTTGATAACATCATACAGCTGTCACAATTTCATCAGGAACCAAACCACCAGCATTCATGAACTCCTTTGCTTTGTTTCCAATTTCCGTCCCAGCTGCTACTTCTGCTCTTAGCAGATCCCCAGTTGATATGTGCACCAATCCAATCTGCACTAAAGAAAATATATTATTTATTTATTGCATCAAAAAATGCATAATTGAAAGTATTAGTTACTCTTAAGTATATTTATTTATAACATCAAATGCATAAAGAGAAGTTAAAATCTATATAAAATCACAACAAAAATACATGAATTTCACCTTTAATTCAATAAATCCTACAGTTAATTTTATAGTTTTCAATAAATTTTAACTAATACTTAAGATTATATAAAGAAAAGCATAGCAGAGATCGTTACTCTCCTTTTATAAAATATTTAAAAAGTGATGGCATGTGATGGTAACGAACCTTTTGAACAATCAATTCACATTGTGTTCCTTTGCCTGAGGCAGGTGCACCTGATATCATGACCTTCAACGGCTCGCCGGTGGAACAATCCACTTTCAGCGCCTTGTCAAAAACAAAAAGTGCATAAGGATAAGAAAACATTGAATAAATAGAATTTAAATTAATTAATCAACACAACCTTGGGTCTTAATGGAAAAGGCGTGTGGCAGCGGAGGTTGCTTAAGCGAAGAGGTTGGGAGTGGAAGGAGAAATGGCGGAGAAGTAGACATGAGTGATGAGAAGAAGAAGGAGAAGAAGATGATGATAGAAGAGGAGAGGAAATGAAAGTGGTGGAGTGGTGGAAGGTGGAGGGTGTGGCGTTTAACATTGTTGTTTTGAGATAATGAGTCTCAGAGACTCAGATTTCGCCTTCAGTTTAGTGGTTCACAGTCACAGACACCATCGCCAACATCAAGTAACTGAAGCCACTGCTTCTTTCATTCAAAACAATTATCATTTTCTTTTTCTAATAAATTTATCTTATTTTACAACTTTGTTTGATTTCAACTTGTTTTCCCCTCCAATCCAATTACATTAATATTTAGAGAAAATGATAAAAATAAATTCAATTTACAGATATTCCAAAGTTAATTGTATAATTTTACTTTTACTTGTCAAGTTTATTAAATGGTAATCAACTGAAATTAAAGTATTTTACTTAAGTAAACTTTTAAATTAGTCTTCAAAGTTACATGATTAAGTAATGTAGTTTCTAAGATTTTAATAAACTTCCATTAGTTCTTAAATATATGAAATGATATTCACTTTAATCTTTTTTATAACTATATTAATAATTAGAATAAAATGATTAACATTTTACAAATTAAAAATGGATAGAATTTTTTTTAAAAGTTATAAGAAATAAAATAGACGATTCTGCAGTTTTAAAAACTAATATAAATGTTATTTTTTTTATTTTATAATAATTGATACTGGTAAATTTTCTATGTATTACACAGGTATTATTAAATTAAATTTTTAAAAAACTAGTTAAAATTATATTTTATGACTATCTTTAAATTTAATGAATTTTAAAAATAAATATTATAATTATTAATAATGAAAAAACTATTATATTAAATAAATTTAAAATATAAAAAATAATAAATTGATATAATAAATAAATAAATAAATTTCTGAGAACGTTCTTGTTTAAAATACTCTTAAAAGCGTTTTCATTTAAAAACTCTTCTAAATATGCTTTCTATAAAAAATTAAGAATCACAATTTTTATGTATAGATTTTACAAATGATAAGTTACAAATTTAATCCTTCATCCATCTCCTTAAATTGAAATTAGTATATATTTTTTATAATTACTTTTTTAAGTCTAAAAACTTCCCTTGCTCAAGACATCATGCTCTTTCTCTCAAATTGTCATGCAAGCACAAAAATGGAAACTTGTCTTTTTTTTTAAAGTATAGAAAGATAAAATCAAAATGTTTGTCTGTATCTGATAAATATTTGAGTAGAAGTTTTATCTGTGAAATATATTTGTTATATCTCTTCAAACATTTACTATTATATATATTTTTTGTTACATAATTGTATTTCTTATGCCCAAAAGGTTTGAATTTTATTATTATTACAACGCATAACGAAACTTAATAAAACCTTTAAATTAAGGAGACAATACTTAAATAGAATTAAAGAACAATAAAATTAAAAAACTAGATTTGGATCTTCACATAACATGAGAATGTCACGTTTTAATGTTAACATTGAAGGACCCTGAGTCCTTGCGCAGAAAGATCTCACCAAGGTGTTAAATGCAGCAGAATACTTGTGATCATAATTTTATGTTTTAAATTAGTATTATGGACTATGGACTAAAAGAAAAGATAATGTAACATTATATAACCAAATTAGTACATAATTATGCGCCTTAAGCATATTGGTGCCCATGGTGAGGAGTAGTCGAGTATAAAACGCAAACCAATCGTATGAATAAAATAATAAAATGACATTGAAAATTTTGCAGGCAAGGCATAAAGATATGAATTACATTCCCAAACATCAACTAACGACAACAGTGGATGCTTCAGAATGCTAAGAAACCCAGTATCAATTACTAACTACATCATGCAATGATTAATGACTTTATATCTAACAATGAGTTAAGCAAAACAGAATAAAATAATTGTACTAAACTTACTATGTTTCCTAACAAAATGAACTGAAATACAGTACATAAAATGAACATTCTCGAGGGTCCTCTTGATTAGAACAGTTCTCTGTAGAGCTAATTTGTGAGTGCGTTGATGCTTTCAATCCAACTTGACTGAAGAGAACAAGTAATACACGAACCAAAATGAAGAGAGGAACCCAATTGTGCCTGTAGACAGCATGATTGCTAGAACCATGAAGAGTGAGTAACCCAAGTATAGAGTTGCAGAAACAGGACCACTCAAACTCTTGAGATCAAACACAAGATAGTTTATGGAGTATAAGAAGATGTATATGGCAACAGAACCAGAGGCAAAGAAAGATTTCCACCACCATTTCCAATCCTCCACACAAAGGTGCATGTATGTTAGAACTAGAGATACCTCAGCACAAACCATCACAAGAAGGATCAAAACGATGAAGAGAAACCCAAAGACATAGTAAACACGGCCCATCCAAATGCTGGACATGATGAAGAAGAGCTCAATGAACAAGGTACCAAATGGAAGGGTGCCAGCACCCAGAACTAACAGCCATGATGGGTACCTCTGCTGGGGAATTTCACGAGGAATTTGGTTGGTTCGAACTGGATACTCAATGAGAGGTGCCTTAGATCCAAAGTAACCACCAACAAGGGTAAGAGGCACAGAAATGCAGAACCAAAGCAAGATTAGTATTACAAAGAGTGAAAATGGAATGGCTCCGGTGCTGTGGCTTCCCCACAATAGGAAGTTCAAGGTTGTGAGGATCAAAAAGGAAATGCCAGGAAAGAAACACGCGGCCTTCCATGCAATGGAAACCCAGCCCTTCTGATCACCAAAGCCAATTGTCCTCCATAACCGAACTGAGACATAACCAGCAGCAATACCAAGTATCATGTAGAAAAAAAGCATGCCTGTGATCAGTGTTCCACGAGAGGCTGGCGACATGAATCCAAGTGCAGCAAACAATATTGTCACAACAGACATCCCAAGAATCTGAACTCCATCCCCAACCATCACACACAACAAAGCAGGATTCGATGGAGCACGGAAAACATCTCCCACAACAAGCTTCCAACCAGATAACTCTTCATTCATCTGTGCTTGAGCCTCCTTATCAAGCTCCTCATAACGGGTCAGATCCCTCCTAACAGTCCTCAGGAAGATCACAAGAACAATACCAGCAAGAAAAGTGATCACCATAAGCGAATTAAGGATGGAGAACCAATGCACTTTTGCTCCCTCCATCTTCAAGTAAGCATCCCATCTAGAAGGCCATTTGATGTTACTCTCCTCAAATGTAACCTCATAGGTGAACACAACCGGCTGACCCTCTTTAATAGGCATTGCCACAGTGGACGGATCGCATTGGATAGCCGACGGATATTTATCATACATTTTCAAGTTTTTCACAGAATCAGCATTATGCATAATACTACAAGGAATCACCTCAAACCCAACAACCATGTATCCAGGCTTACCAGAAGACCCTCCCTTGCCAACTGGGATCACCTCTGCACCGTCTCCGGTGCCCATTACACGAGCCACATTGGTCTCCTCATACTTGTGGACAAGAATATTGAACTTGAGATGGTTAAACAGATAATACCCATCCTGAACCTTAATACCAACAGGGTACCCTGTCCATCTCATAAAGTACCCCTCTTTCTGTGTGAACCTAATGGCAGGTAAATTATCAAGTATCAAATTAACCTGATACATCTCATCAATCCTCTCCTTCAAGAGCTTGAACTGATCACCAGATAAAGATTCAACCCGGCACAAGAAAATCTCAGACTCATTGGTGTACATCCTAAACCTGTAAGGAGAATTCTCTATCCTGTCCCCCATGAGGAGTTCCCCAAGGTTCTCAGCACTGTCCTTGACACCACCCTCAGGGTTGCAGAAGGGCAAGCTGTAATAGCTAAAGGGCATTTCAGTGTCAATGGAAGTGAGGGAATTCACCTTCACCCACAACTCATCCGTCACACCATACTTATGAGGATAACTACCCGGAAGGTAGAACCCATAACCGGATTGAATTTGAAATGTCAAGCACAAAATCAAGACCACCCACAACCCAAATTGCTCACAAGATTCCATCTTTGCAAGATTCACAGGGGATTCGTGTCAGATCTGACAGACCCAGATACGGCAATGAGTGAATAAAAATGCAGAAAAGATAAACCAAACTCTTAACTAGTGCATGCTTTTTTGGGTCTAGAGAGAGATGCAAATTGCAAAGGCTAGATAGATAGTAGTACTACACAACACAGATAAATATGATAAATGTGCATGTGAATATTGACAAATGAAGAAGCAAATAAGAAAGATAAAAAAAATAAAAAATTGAAATTTACATAACTGACCTCATCCAAAGGAAATGTGGGTGGCAATTATGTTTGAGAGCAAGAAATGAATAAGGATATTCTTCAAGCACTGCAGAGGCAGTGACGAAGAATTGAATTGGGAAAGAAATGCAAAAGGTGCAATGAAGACTTTGATACCTGCGATTGCACATTTATATCCATGGTGGGTACAGTCTCACTTTCCTTAGGGAGCTGGTCACTGCGCTGATGGAGAGTCAGTTAAATTACGAGAATACCCCTATTTTTGCTATATTGTGAACAATATGCATTACAAACTCCCAAATCCTGTTGTCAGCCACCTTTACGAGTAATCCAACACCCACCGACACCGACACCTCTCTGTTTTGATTGCATGTGTTATGATTTAAGAAAAAATACATTTTGAGTAATCATTTTGATGGTAAACAAAATTTCATTTGAGTAATCATGATTAGTTTCTATGATTTTTTTTAACCATTCTGGCAAGCTAATTGAATGATAAGTGAATTTCGTGCACCTAAATGGAAGAAAAAAATTGATGGCTAATTAACAGTTATAATAAATAGTTTATAATTGTAATGAAATTTCAACTGTTTGAATAGCAAAGTTAATTTTGTTATGGGAAAATTGATAATTTTTTTCTCACACAAAATTATTTAAGAAAAACTTGCAATCTCGGTTCAGATACTTAACCAAAAATGCTGATAATTTAGTTTTATTTAGGACTTTATGAACAATCACGCGTATGTCCTTGTTTAGCAGAAATTATGAATATGGTTGGTTTAAGGTTACTGATTCAGGATGTTTTGCTACTTATCGGTGTTAAGTTTTGCTCTGAAGTGAAGCTTTTCAAAACGATAAATAAACATAAATTTAATATTTTTAAATTAATTGATAAATTAACACAGATTTTATATTTCATTAATTTATATTTATACATATTATATGATATTTTATTTAAAAGATTAAAAAAAATCTTATTTAAAATTTTACTCCTAAATATACTGAAAAAGTTGGCAATCCGTAACTTCAGCATACAGGTAAGGCCACCTTAACCCACTAGCCTCTGACTCTGAGAGGGAAAATCCCAAACCACGGAGACAATGAGTGTATCTGAAAAAACTTTTTAGTTAAAAAACATTTTATTTGGTTAATTAAAAATTTATTTGATAAATTTATTTTTATTTAATAAATTATACTAATTAAAATTAATTTTTAATTATCATTATTATTCATAATATTTTTATTTATTTAATATAAAACTATCAAAATAATAATATATATGCATTTATTACACAATACATAAATTTGAGAAGGTATTGTATATTTTTTTAATTAAGCTACTAATTCTATTATTTATTAATATAAACATTTCACATATAAAAAAAATATAGGAAAAACGTGTCACCCTCTTATGTTATTTGACCAATAGTTAGTGGTATATTGCTTGTAGACCAATAAAGGAGAATTACCTTAGATCTGACTCATTTTATTGACCAGCTAGAAATTGTTTGTTGGGTTGGATGAATCACACACAATACAGAGCCATGCAACTTGTTTAATTACCATTGCTAATTCATTGCTAATTTAAAAAAAAAAATATTGAAAGGTCATAAATTTTTTTATAGAATAAAGTAGCATGTTGACTCTTAAATACATGAATGAGTCGTCCATTATATTTTATTTCATTTTACAATTATCATTGAATTTAATTATCTAAATTTGACAAAATGGGACTACAATTTTCTTTTACTTATACAACATTACTCGTTACATATGGTGTGTTCTATGGGTATTAAAGTAAAAGAATTAATAAAAAATAATATATCATATAACTTTTTTAAAATTTAATAAAATTTATATATTAAAATATAAATATATTTACTATTAATACTAAATATTCTATTACATAAAACAGGACTAAATTAAAGAGATTAGACTTCAAAAGTTAAAATTTTAAAATTTGAATTCAAATTGAATTAAAAAATTAAATGTCCAATATAAAAGAAGACATATGGAGATAAATACTCATAAAAAATATTATTATTTAATATTATTCCTATAAAGACTCTCTTTTAAGAATTATACCTCACATTTAATGTATATAAAGATAAATAATTGAATATATTATTTTAGCTATCTAACATTATTTATTATATTGACTAAATTTTACTTACTTAATTTACTAGGACTAGATTTAATATATATATATATATATATATATATATATTAATAACTAATTTCAAACATAAAAAGTTTTAAAAGGACCAAAACTTTGATTGTCATTTTATTATTATTCTATATTTAATCACCTTAATTAACCTTGATTAAAGATTTAATTACGTAATTAAATGGTTGCCTTATCCTGGACGGTTCTAACGTACATGAATATAATATTAATTCAAACTTCTGCATGGGTGAACATTAAGATTATTTTATCTAGATAATAGAGTTTGTAATGCAGGGGTGTTATATTTTAAAATAAATACATATACAATTTAATAATAAAAGATAAATTTTTCCATATTTTATTAAATTAAATAACAATATATTAAAAAACAAGACTATTAATAAAATTAAGGTAAATATTATGAAAATAAATTATTAAAATTAAGATATATTTCTGTATTGATGTAATATGTCAAAATTCAAAAATTAAGATCAAATTAAGACGAATGAAGATAATAATAATAAAATTTAATTTATTTTAAAATTATATTTATTTCAATTACCTTATTAAGTGTACTTCGATTGACTTGTTTTATGAATTTTTTCTCATTATAAGAAAAATTTTGTATTGAACCTAACACAACTTCCAAAAACTAATTCATCAGATAAAGATTATTTTAACATTTATAAAACCTATTTTAGTCGTAGTTATAGACTTATTTAGTATCTCAACATAGGCCATAAATATCATATTTATATTCCCTAATATCAACTACCGCTGCATTTTTCAAAATCCCTAGAAACTTAATCAATTATTAATTTATATAATGCAATGGTAATCATTATATCCCTAAGTTCGGTTCTCAGTTCAACTGAACCAAACCGAACCCCTACCCTAAACCTTGGTTTTCCTAATTTAGGCCTTAATGTGGTGATGAATGTGCATTACTCAAACCCTAAATTTGCACCTCACTTCCCTTCCCTTTGCATCATCTACGCTCTCCCTCACTTCCCCTCTGCATCTACGTTCGCTAAAGTCTTTGCCTTCTCAGATCTGTCTATATAGGCCATTGACAAAGGCAATCGAGCTCAGTGAATAGTGACCTTGTTCAGGTACTTTAACGTCCACATTCTCTCTGTTTTTTTTTTTCCAAAGAGTTTATGCAATGTATTGTATCATGAAAAGAAAAGAGTTCTCATCATAGCTGCATCATTCTTTATGCCTTCATCCGTAAGCTCAATCAACACCCTCCACTTTGCTGGTTTTCCTTAGTTTTGGAACTTAACTTACGTGCAACAGCTTCTTTAATTTTTTATGTCCTTAGTAATATACCATTTATTGCCAATTAATTGAATTAGTTCTTTGTTAATGCCAATTCAGCATAGTTGTTGTTCACACTCAACACTTATGTTCAATTTGGATTTCGGTTCAACAGTGCACAGGAGCTGTCATAATAAAAGTCAAAATTGAGGTTATTTAGCAGTCTAATTATATTATTGTAATATAAAAAAGCACATGAAAATAATATTTAGGTTTTTTACCGTGAATTGGGTTTTCATTCTATGTTTAGGGTTGTTATTTTTCATACTGCCAGATGGTATCTTATTTAGGAGAACTAGCTCTGTTTGTCCTTTCTCGCAATTCATAGTTTGTAACCATCTTTTTCCTCATTCTTTTTTGTTGAAGAGGATAGAATTTAGAAGGGTTTGTTGAAGAAAATTTGGAAGATTGTATCATTGAGATTGGGTTTGTTACTGTTGTTAATGAGAAGGAAGTAGAATTAGCACTCAGTTAGGAATTTAGAATTGTTTATTAAGTAGAATGTAGAAGGGTTAATGATTCCCCGTTGTATGACTTTTGTCCCCGAGAGACTAAGATGGTCCTATTGGCACATCAAAAGATTAGTTGGAATGGCATGATATCATGATATTCTGAGTTCTGAATTTTATGATTCACTAACACACAATTATTACTAATACCATGTAACCCAAACTGTAGTACTCTTCAAATTTTATGATTCTGAGTTTTGAATTTGTACTACTACTTACTAGATAATCAAAATATGAAATGAACCATGATTTGTATGTACGAAGATTGGATGACTATCTACAAATTTTGCACTTTTGCTGGTTAGTAGATAACTATTGCTTCCTTGTTTGATATATACAATATTCGAATGCAGAAGAGTTCATTATTTTTATTTTTATTTTTGAGACAGTTGATAGTTTCTAGAGTTATGTGTAATGTGCCAAAAATATTACACAGAAAAGTGAAAATATTTAAATATATACTTTAACAAAGATTATTTTTCAAAACAGACATGGTTATCCCACCTCCAGTCAGGCCTTCCAGGATTACAAGTTTTCTCAAACCTTATGTTCTGAAGATGCATTTTACCAATAAGTATGTGAGTGCCCAGGTGATTCATACCCCAACTGCTACTGTGGCCTCTTCCGCAAGCTCCCAAGAGAAAGCCTTGAGATCAAGCTTGGAAACTAGACGAGATGTGGCGGCAGCTGCAAAGATTGGGAAGATACTAGCGGAACGCCTTTTGTTTAAGGACATACCTGCTGTTACTCTTCACTTGAAGAGAGAACAGAAGTATCATGGTAAGGTTAAAGCGGTTGTTGATTCTCTCAGGGAAGCTGGCGTTAAGCTGCTTTGAGTTGTGATTGTGTGTTTATTTGTACCTGAGGGAGACCATTCTTGTTGGAATGCAAAGGGGTGGAAGATTTTGTACTATGTCAGCAGAAAATAAGAATGCGAATTAAACCGAGGTGCTCCTTTTATCGTTTAGCTATCATAATAACAGGAACTCGCTCATTCAACATATTTCACTAAGTCCCAATTTAACAATGTTAGCGAGAAATATGATGGTTGCTTAGTATCTTTTTGCCAAGGATCATAAAATTAGACTTTGCCAAGAGTCCCTACGTGAAAGATGTAAGCATTTTGAAGCAAAGACTCTGTTGAAGCCAGTAGCCTGGTTAGGATATAGGTTGGGCGTGTCACGGTACTACAGCTACGCTAGTCAAGGAACTTGAATAGTAACTTGTCAACAGACAAGGAGCAACTTAATTGCACTTCGCTTGTAAATGCTAGAAATGGTTCCTCAAGTAGGTCATCCATTATTTTTTGTAAAGTTTTTTTATTGTCATTTTGTTAAGTTTTAAAAAACAATTATAACTTGATTTTATTTGTTGAATTGCACCTCCTCATTTTCACTCGGATCCGTTTGTTTGAGACAGGAAATATATGCCCAAGGCAATAAAATTTGGCTGACATGCATTTCTTGTAACCGTAAAAATTAGAACAGCAAATATTTCTCACGCATACCATTCCTTGTTAGATTTTTGTTTCCTGTTGTGTTGGGTAGTAAGCTGTTACAGCATTAGTCAAATTTAACTGTTTTAAATCACAAATTATGGAGCAAAATAATGAAAGGCATTTCGCTGTTACAAAGGTTTATATTAATAGAATTCGTATTTTATAAATAAAACAAGTCCCTCGGCGTCTTATTTATAAAGAAAACGTTCTCTTTGGAAGTTTTCCATGTTGGGTATAAATCAAATGGATGCAAATATATCTGCCAGAAGGAAGACTTTATACCAGAAGCCTGGAGAAAAAATCTTGAAGAACCTTATCTACCATCTCCTATTTGTGCTCTTGCCAAATTATGCCCAAAAGTGGTCGCACCAACGCCTTACCATAAAAGAATTCCAGGAATTAATATGCACATTCTACAAGCATATGTAACTTTGAGTTGCATATGGAAATGCACAAGTGGGAAAAGATACTCATGCTCAATACCAATATACTTTATTAGTTATTACGCTAGTCCGGTCCACCATTTGCTACTAAGTCTACTACTATACCCTTTTTGCACTTGCTACCTCAAGTCATGCATCCCAAAGTTCCCTAAATCCTTCACCTAATGATAGTAAAAAACAAGCATTTGAAATGTTAATAAAATATTTGACAGTTTCTTCACTTCTTGACAAAGCAAAGGACTAGTTATGCAAAGTTCACAGCCACAGAGCCAAGTACCCTTTTTCGTCCAGACTCTAGAATGAGTTCTCAAAAAATGTCACAAACAAGGAGGCAACTTACCAATAATACCCCTAGGCAGACACATTAGGATTTGTATGGTTGCACCAATCTCAAGTTAGGAGCTTCGGTTCTCTATAAATCAATGTTCTTTCTGCATGAAAAGGAACTTTTGAAGGCCAAAACAGGAAGTAGAGTATGTGATACTTCTTCAATTTTGAATACTTTCAAACAGCTCAGGTTAAGTATAATGCACAGACCAATGAAAACTACCAGAAGAGTCACTGGTAATCACAGAAGAAAGTTCAAGTCCCATTGGAATGTACATCCCAGTATTTGCCAATCCTATAAACAAAAAGAGCAGAATAAAATGCCTCCACTGTTAGATCATGGGGAGGAAACTACAACCACACAACAATAAATATCTGTATTAGTAAAAAAAACAAAAACCAAGATCAATCAATGTTAAAAAAGTTAGCATAGAACAAAAAAAAAGTAGATAGTTAATGTGATTCAGATTAACACCCATGTCCTTGTGGGTGGCTAGTGTAGAATTTATAATCAACTGGAAATTGCAAGTCTTTAGAATGCAAACTTTAGACCCAAGTACAGCAATTCATAATCAGCACAGACTTATTGACTTTAATGAAACATGAAAACTGCATAATAGTAACATGGAATGGCCCATTTCACAGGCGTACTCCACATCCAACACCATTGCCATTGAACTCTAGAACAGTATACTTGCAGTAAATACTAAAAATCATCAACAATAAAATCATGAATAGAAACCTAGAAATTCATAACAGGATACATATGAATGTTTACCTTAAGATGAAGGATTGCTTTTCCACGAGGAGTATTGGTATTGTTATATCATATATGCATCTGAGCCATAAAGGTAATGTATCATCCAGTACTAACTGGAACTGAATAAAAGCCCATGGCATACAAAGATTTCTGGTGTAGGTGTCTCCCAAAACTTTTAGCCAAGAGGAACACTGCACTGCTTATAACAGAGGGAACAAATCTCTGCAAATTGAACTGACCCAGTCAAAATCCAGACCTACAAAATTTTCAGATTTAAACTTCAGCCAATATAAATTCCATGAGAATCGACAGACATATCAGTTATGATGAAGACACAGCTGATAATTATCATCACAAATATATTAATGCAAAGTTGTATACAGCTTGTTTGTTGGTGTAAAAAAAGCTATTTTCAAGATCATATAGCATACTAATCATCCCACGTTATTTAGTTCAGAAGGGAATAAAAGAAGCTGAGCAACGCTAAAAGTTTGTTACATAATGAAACAACATGTCTTAACACTGTCTGCAGCCTTATTCTGAGAAGAGGGATTTTGTTCATATGAAGTACAACTGATTACAACAAAACTACCAAGTCTTATTTCACTAGATGAGATAAAAATAAAAAGTTCAGATGGGATGAATGCAAAAGTATACCAAAAAATAAGAGCAACTGTGCAAGATACTGTGCAAGAAACCTAAAGAATGATACTGGAGGAATGTAATACAAACCATATCAGCAATATCACTTTCGGCTGAGTTATAGAACTGTTGGCTCAGCTTCATCTGCCAACTCACATTCTGGATGAAGAAAAAGCACAATGTGATCAACCAACCTTTCGTCTCATTTTGTTCCTCAAGTGAATTAATTTTTTCCGAGAAATTATCAATAACTCATTCAATCTTTTGGTGCCTCTGTATAAATTTAAAGGAACCAGTTCCCTAGCTTGTAGGTCACTCAAAAGAATTTCACTTTCAAGATGATAATTTCCAGCACAGAAAGAATCAATAAGAACTAAGTATATAGAGGTATTAGGCCAAAGATCTCTTTGTTTCATCTCTTCATAAAGTTTAAAAGCAGCTTCAATATCACCATTAGCACAAAGGCCAGATATAAGAACATTGTATGCAACAACATCAGGCTTTACATGACAATGTTCCATTACATGCCTCAATTCTAAAGCTTTTGCAACATTAGCTTCTTTGCAATAGATGTGCATTAAAGTAGTGAAAGTGGCAACAGTTGGAATGATTTTCATCTCAATCATCAAATCAAGAACCCATACGGCATTTTCAATCTTCCTTGAATGTGCAAGCCCTCTAACAATGGCGCTCATAGCAACATCCTGGGAGCTGACACCAAGTGTTTTCATCTCATCTTGCAGTTTCAATGCTCCTTTAATGTTTCCCACTCTACACATGCCATTGATTAAAGTGATATATTGTTTACTTGTAGGAACAGAACCACTTTCCAACACGGCTTGCAAAACACAATGGGCTTTATCAAAAGCCCAAGTTCTAATGAGTCCATTAAAAAGGACATTGTATGTATCTACATTAGGAATAACCCCAAACAGATTCATTTGTTTTACCAGATCAAAGGCCATTTTCATATCATTCCTTTCACAAAACTTGGTAATGAGCATGTTAAATGTAAAACAATCAGCTACAAAACCTTTCAGTGTTATCCATCTTAAAAATTTTATAGCAACATCAAATGATTCAGATTTACAACATCCAAGAATAAGAGAGTGACATGAAAACCTATCTGGCACAAAACCATGTCTGATCATGTCTTCATATAACATAGAACATCTTGCCATGGCATGCCTCTTTGAATACCCATGTAGCAGGATATTATAACTAGCCAAATTGAAGCATAAACTTCTACACCTCATGGTTGAAAGGATATCATCAACCTTAGACATTTTCCCCTTCCTTGAGTATCGATCCATAAACACATTGAATGCAATAGTATCAGGGTCCACCCCTTTGTTCAACATTTCTTCAAAAATATACAAAGCAGCTCTAGAATGTCCTTCCTTAAGAAGACCATCAACTAAACTAGTGTACACAGCAGGATTTGGGGATAATAATCCTTTTTCAATTGCCTTTCCTGACAAAAGGAGTGCAGCAACTATTTTACCTTTTTTGCATAGCCCCGCAATAAGGTTAGTATATGTAAAATTGTCAGGCATAAAATCATTGGCAATCATCTCATTAATAAGGGCAACTGCATCGGATAAATTTCCTGATCTACATGTACAAGTAAGTATTGTGTTGAAGATAACAATATCGATAGCATTAGGAATGCATCGGAATCTATGCAAGAGTTTTCGAGCTTCATTAATATGTCCACCAATGCAAAGTCCTTTCAATAAACCCCCATACGTGAATTGACTTGGGAAATGGCCTAAGCTATTCATTTTATCAAACATAGAAAATGCTTTTAATGCATCACCAGAATTTCCAAAACTATTTATAATGCAATCAAAAGTAACAGAGTTAGGATCAAGACCCATCCTGCTCATGTGATCCATAAAATACTCAGCCTCTTCAAGTCTCCCACATCTACAAAAAGCGGCAACCAACACATTACATGTAAAGTGATCAGTGACGTGACCGCTATGATTCATAATTGCATAAGCATTTAATGCCTCTTTTAAGTAGCCCATCTTGCAATAATTGTAGATTAACGTTGAATACAAAATTCTATTTGACACAAGCCCAGTCTTGTACATTTTACACATAATCTCCTTTGCATTATTTATCTTCCCCACCCTGAAAAATCCATTTATGAGCACTGAAAATGTAACAACATCAGGATTGACAGAATTCTTTAACATATCATCAAACAACTTCACAGCTTCTTCAAGCTGGCCATTCTTACATAATCCATCAATCATTGCTGTATAACTAATATGACCAATTCTCACCCCATCCATCCTCATTCTCTCAAGAATACTGGGAATCAATCCAAATTCAGCATGCTTCGATAGCCCATTTAAAAGAGCTCCATATGTCACTTCATTAGGTCTCAAACCATGTGAAACCATTACATCCATTAGTCTCAATGCTTCCCCAATATGGCCCATGCTACAGTGCCCAACAACCAAAATATTGTAAGTGATACTGTTGGGTAACAAATTAAACAATGACATCTCATCAAAAACTTTTGTAGCAACTCCAATCTTCCCCTCCTTAACAAATCCATTAATAAGAGTATTATAAGTTATCTCATTAGGATACACTATATTCTTTCTCATCCTTTTCAATAATAAATAAGCTTTTGCACTCCTTCTTTCCCTGCACAAATTATCTATCAACACATTATATGTACAAACATCTGCTGCAATACCCTTAGATGTCATGCAGTCGATCAGCTCAAATGCTGCTTTATACCTTCCTTTTTTGCAATACCAATTAAGCAAAGTATTGTAAGTGACTGCAGTTGGAAAAATACCACCTTCTTCCATTTTCCTCAAGAGGAAGCCAGCATTTTTAAACCTCCCTTGTTTGCACAAAGCATTTAACAATATGTTGAATGTAGCAACATCAGGGCAAATCCTCTCAGCAAGCATTCCTTTGAAAAAAGACCAAAACAGCTCAACTTTCTGCTCCTTCACAAGGGAACCTAACACCATGTTACAAGTATATACAGATGGCTTCAATCCCCGAAAGCCCATCAAGTAGAAAGTCTGCACAGCATCTCCAACCATCTTGTCTCTCAAACAAACTCTAATCAGGAGGTCAAAAACAGCCGGGTTTGAGTTGCAAATGGGGTATGTCTCCATCAAAGCACCAAAAACAGAGTTCAAACCAATGGGCAGTTGTACCAGATGCTTCAAGGTTGTTTTGGCAAAGTTGTACATTCTAGCTCTAACAAGTATATGGGTAGTAGTGCAGATTATATGAGTGATGTGATTGAGCTCTAAATTAGGTTGCCTTATGACCCAATTGAGAAATTTCAGAGCCAACCTTCCATGGACAGGCCTGAGGGAAGCCAACCTATATTTCATACAGTTCAGTGACTCCCATCGGTGCACAGTAAGAAAAGTATATATACTCTTCTCCATGTCAAAACCCATCAAATGATTCCAAACTTTATACTGAAAATCTGAAACAAAGAGGGAAAAAAAAATTGGTTTAGAGAGGGAAAGAGTTGCAAGAGAAAGAAGGTAGAAGAAATAGGGACATACCCTGAATAACAATAGCAAACTACTGAAGGATGATTATCTTCTTTAATATACAAGGATTGTAGATAGCTGAAAAAGGATTTGTGAGTCTCCTGAGAATAAAGCCATTTCAAAACCATGTTTGGAGCACTGATAGGTAGAGCAAAATTTCCATGGAAACATAAAAGTGACGTGTTAGGCATGACAATGAGATGCTATCTATCAACACATTAAAATATTATTATAATATATTAAATTAAAATAAAATTAAAAGAAAAAAAAAGGTCTATTTCCCCTCTTTCACACTTTCTCGCTCCTAGGAAACCCATTTTTGCTTGTTACATGAAAATGCTGTTTGAGGCTGCAGTCGACGATCTATGGTGGAGTAAGCTCACAGCAAGGGACAGGCAGCAGGGCATGCGGGTGTGGAGATTTTTGGTGAAGAGATTGGGGTTGACTGTGGGTGATACAGACAGAGGTGTACGCTGCCATCAATCATGCATGGACTTTTGAACTCTCTGATGATAAGTCTGGTGTTATGGAAATACTAAAGGGTGATGTTAGCGAGGCCAAGGAGAAAGGTAAGGAGGTGCATGGATAGGTTTGGCACAAAACCAAGTTAAATATAAATCAATTGTATGGATTAAATTTCAAACTCAATTCATTATTTTCAAAATTGGTTTGGTTTTGATTAAAGTGATTTTGATTCAAAACTAGTTTTGACCAAACTGGCTTTAAAATTGGTCTGATTTTTAGTCAAATCCAGTTTTTGAGCCAATTCTTGTCATAATGCAGTTATAAATCTAGTTTTTGGGCAAAATCTAGTCATAAATCCAGCTTTTCTAATAAATTCATGATTGTTTCATTAAAAATTAATTAAAAACAATCCAGTTAATGGTAATTCGAAGCCCAATACTGCAGTAAGCATGCATGCGCTGAAAGTAGTGCGTATACCATATACAACTTGAGACTTACATTCAATGGGCAAGCATCCATTTGATCTACATTTCTTACTAAATCATTTACCTCACCATAAAAGAAATGAGATTTTCTTTACTTATCCATTTGGATTAGTTTGCCATGTTGGGGGTGAAATATTTTGATACAAAAGAGTAATTTTAAAAAACAGGATAGTAGGAAATTTGTGTTATTAGTCATGTCAACAAAATAGAAATGTGATGGCAAAAAAAATTAAATTAGTTAACAATTTCATCCCTTCACTCCTAAGCAAGGAAACTGAACACAGTCTAACTAGAACTAACTAATAAAATTGGGATCTAACAAGGTGTTGATGGACCTGCCATCCAAAATTAATCGCACAGGTCCATCCTTGGATTTAAACCAAGCTAAAAGTGAAAATACGAAACACATAAAAAAGAAAAATATACAGAACAGAGCAAGTAATTCATATACAAGTGATTTTAATTATACTTAAAATGGTGTAAGCACAATCCAGTCCATCATTCCCACCTAGCAATAAGTTACACAAAACCAATGAACAGCAAATGATTTTCTCGAATAAATATATTTTGCAGGCTTTTACAGGTTATAGCATAAAGCATGCTGAGAATATACAAACAACATCAAGAGGACATTAAGTAACACTAGGTTGCGCCTTACTTTCACAACACTGTCAACACACAACTACAATAACTATCAAGAATAATTGGCAAAGAGTAGAGACCCAAAAATATTACACATTTGGAGCTAAAACATTGCTTTCAGAATTTTAGATACATAAAAGAAACGGTGAATACGATTGTAAACTACAGAGTAAGAATCAATGAAGTACTCACCACCAGTCACCACAGATGATAAAAGCAGCGACTGAGTCACCAGAAATTGCAGCAACCATTAGGGCTCAACTTCAACGATTGAATTCTAAAGGAGCTATAAGGGAATTCAACCAAAGATATGAGAATTTGTGGATTAGGGATAAAAAAAAGAATTAGAGAGATTTGGAATAGCGTTCAGGAGAGAGTCAGAGAGAATGATTCATAGGGGACCCTGTGGGGTAGTGGGGTCTGAGGGAGCAAAGAGTTAGCTAGAACATTGAATTTGAATAAACTAGAGAGTTTCATTCGACAGAAAGTTTATTTTTAAATTTTTAAAATATACTATATGCTGACTTTTAAATTTTAAAATAAATATCTATTATTATTATTAATAATCATTTCCTATATTAAATAAAATAAAATTAAAAAATAACATATTTTATATTAAAAAATAAATTATAAAAAATAATTTAAATACACTAACAGTATAAACAAATTTTACCTTAATGTATTCTTATTAGTTAATAATGTAAAAATATTTATATTGAAAATTGCATCAAAATTAAATTCATATTAAAAATTAAAATAATAAATATTTAATGCAAAAAAACTACATGATATAATAAGGAAGAGAACAGTTTTTAAAAATATTTTTATTTATTATAATTTCTAAAAATACTCTTATTTAAGAATGGAGATTTATATTTAACATATGAAAGTAGATTAAAATTCAATCACTTTTAGATTGAAGTTTCTTTTACACTAATTATTTTGGTGCATTTGGGGTATAGTGTTTTGAGTGATTTATCATAAAATTTTCAAGCTTCCCTCATTTGGTTTTTTGCAAGTAAGGTACGAGATATGTTGTAATAGAAACATAGACAATGAAAAGAAGAAAATTGATTAGATGATGTATGTAATAGATAGGGATAAAGAGAATTCTGTTGTTATAAGAACTTATTATAAAATTTGTTGTGAGATAGTATATTAGTTTATCCATCTTAAGTTTTCCTATGATAAAACTCTCATTGTCTCATAATATGTGTCCAACATGCAGGAGCTTAAAGTGAAGATTGGCCACATATTTGTGCCAAATGTTGGCACAACCATGTTTATGCTTGCATGCTTGTGCCAAGCTTGCTTGGTCATACACGATGTTCTAACCCCTTTTCACAGCCCTAACCAAGTCAGACTATAAATGGAAGGCTTGATTAGTTCGTACAAAACACACTAGATAAAGGGAGAAACATTAAAACATTTCTTTTATCTTTTCTTAGTTTTTCTCTTCTAGTGCTCTAGGAAATTTGTTCTTTTCTTTACTCTTTAGCTGAAATAATGTTTCGATTTAAGGTGATTTTTTTGGTTTAAATTATATCATGTACAAATAAACCCTTATGGCAAATCCTAGGATGACAATTTTATAGTTATTTTATGATTTTTTAGCGATTGTTTACTTTTTAAAATTAACCACGTATATCTTGTTATACTTTATTTTGTACATGAACGGATGAAGTCATATGCATAAAATCTAAGTTTTGAGAGAGTTAGCAATCATAATACTCTTAACCAATTGAACTATTGGATAAAATGGATCTAGGCTTTAAGAGAATCAATTTAAAACTCTTAGGTTTCCCATCAGTTATTGGGTTAACTAGTCTGTTTGATCTTAATGTTCTCTTGAAATAACTATCTTGCATAATCCTTGGCTAGAGGTTTAAGGAAATGACTATCAATGTTATACTATCATTGGGAATTGATAGGTTGAAAAGGTGAATCTTTAGCACTTTTTACCTTAAACTAAACTTAATCTTATGATGATCATTCCCCTTTTATCAAGCAATTGGGTTCATCCTTTACAACACTTTTAGTCTAGGCAGGTGACATTGTGCTAGTAGGTAACAATATAAAATAGGTTCACTGTGTCAAGTCCTTCCTTCTTCAGCAATTTAAAATCAAAGATCTTAAGTCTTTGCAATAATTTTTGGGTCTTGTGATCTCTACATCATCTTCTGCCCTGCTCTTGAATAAAGGGAAATATACCTTAGAGTTGCCTGCAGATATTGGTTTAATAGCTTCCAAACCAGTTAAAAAACCTATAGAACCTTTTATAAAATAACAGTGTTGAGGGAAAGCAGTTCTCAAATCCATCTTATCGCGGGTTGATTGGCAGATTGCTTTACCTCACTTATACTATCTAACATTTGCTTCTTTTTATAGTAGTAATTAAGCCAATTTGTCTCTCATTCTATAGAGGATTCACTATTAGGTTGCACGGAGGATTCTCAAGTACTTCAAATCCTCTCCTGCTAAGGAACTTCTTTTCCTTGTTAACTCATCTCTCATGGTTACTGCCTTTGCTGACAGTAATTGGACTTGTTGTCTTGATAAGATAGAGTGTGTTAAAGGTTTTTGTGTCTTGCTTGATTCTTCCCTTGTTGCTTGAAAATCCAAGAAATAAATAATTTTATTCTTTAGCCTCCCTTACTTGCAAAATTCAATGGTTACCATATATACTTACTAACTTCCAGCTTTCTCTTTAGGATCCAGTTTCAATTTAATGTGATAACCAATTGGCTGTGTACCTTGCTCACACCTCCTTTTCATAAAAAAAATATTGAAATTAATCTTCATGTGATTTACGAGAAGACTCAATCCAAACTTAATTTACTACCAGTTTCTTCCTCAGCATAGTTAGCTGATGTTTTTATCAAGGCACTTTTTTCCGTCTAGATCATGGCACTTTATCTGACTCCTTTGCTTCTTCTGTCTCTAAGTTTTGGGCCCATTAAATGTTCATACTCCCACTTAGGGGTGCGATTATTTTTCTACCTTACCATGATTAGGCATTCCCACTAGTCATTTAGTTGCTACAATTTCCAGTTTGGAGAATGTTGGTTCGTTGTGTCATCTTCTGCTAGATAACCAAAAGTAGATCTTAGTTCATTAATAATATCTCACCGGATAGATATTTGCTAGATTATAATAATATATTGTTGCAATCATGCAAATATCCATCCTTCTTATTTGGAAGCATATGCCATCAAGTTCAAATGTGACCGTCCCATGAAATGTGACCGTCCCATGTGGCTCATGTTGTAGTGTGACAGGTGAAGATTCTTCAAATCATTCAAGGACAGCAATCCGAGAAAAAGAAGCACCTTTTTTGAGTTGTTTTTCTGAAAAGCATCACTGTAAGTTCTGGAAAGATTAATTAATTAGCTGTAACTGGCGTTGCCAACTCCCAGTGCCGCTTTTCATTAAAAATCATATCAAAGTTGGCTGCATTTAACAAAGGTGCTGGCCACATCCCATCACATGGTCATAGGACTCATGACCGATCATCTTGCGATATTCTAATTATTTTTTATCATTCAAATAATATAGCAATCTCTTTAAGAACCCAGAAAAGAAAATATCACACAATTCCTTCCGGAATCACGATTTCCAGAGTTAATTTGATCGTGAAATTCAGAGAAAATTAAGAAAAATAGAACTAACAGATATACAGACAAAAAGATCAAAACAATTAAAATCCAATTAGCATCGTTACAAGAAACGAGGTTGTCTAACTCAGATAAGGAACCAAAAAGCATGGCCCCCCAAATTCAACAACACAAGCCCATGACAACCTCTAATCTAAACAAATCAATTTGACATTGCCCCAAAAATAAGAAGTTAACCAAGACCTCAAATTATTCAAAATTTATGAAATAATAATAATAAAAATAAAAAAGAGTAAGAGGAAACAAAAGAAAAGAAGAGAGTTTTATCAAAAAAAAGAGGCAGACTCCTTCAAAACTCAAATAAAACCCCTAATTTATTATTATGTCCCTCTTCCTCGAGTTGAGGTCTGGCGCCAGCAGGAGAAGAAGAGGGAGAGGAATGAGCAGAAGCTGCTGCAGCCAACACCAAACTTCCATCACTCCACGCCCTCCTCATAGGATATGACACATTGTTACAGCGTGGCAACCTGTGAGTGCAGGTTTTCTTCTTGGACTGGCTGTGTAGCGCACAACTACAGTTGCGGTGGTAGGGCCGGCGCTCGACGCCGTTGTCGTAGCCGGAAATGCAAGCCTCGTAGATAGGTCGGAAAAGGCCGTCTGCGGCGGCGCCGGTGGCCATGCCAAGAATTATGGTGATTTAATTCTTAGCTGTAGTCGGCTTTGCGTGACGTGCAAACCACTCACCCCTTTGTGACCAAATGGTTTTAGGCTTTGACAGAACAGTGGTGAGCGTTTTATATAAGGGTTTGGAAAGGGTGTTAAATAGGGGTATTGAGAGAGAGAGAGATGAGAGAGAAGCGCGTTTGTTTTGTTTGTTGTTTGTTTCAAGCGCTGTTAGAGGCGTGTCTTGTGGGTCACTTTCAAGATCCGCTGCGCACTCCTCATGCTTGCTTTTTTGACGTGTCGTTATATTCTTCTTCTTCTTCTTCTTCTGCTTATGCTTCCGTAATTGTTTCTCTGTTCATTCAACTTTTCAGAACCACCCCCAAATAAAGCTTTCTGTTATTTTACTGTCTTTTTACTGATGCCATTTTTGGATTTAATTAAGTTTTTTTCTTTATTTACCCCAATATTTTGTTTTTGTTTCTTTATTTGATTTGAATATTTTGTTTAAAGTAATTTGGTTTGCGTATTTATTTAAGGTATTTAATATAATTTGACTTGTGATTTTTAAAGGTAGTTTAATTTGAGTATCATAACTAATTTTATTTCGTTATTCTTCGTAAACTGAAAATTTGATCTAAACATGAATTATTTGTATTTTTTAAAGGTTGAAATTTAAATTTGAAATCATAAGTTACAATGCATTTGTTGGAACTCAAACTTGAAAATACATGTTAAGTTAGAACATTTTCTACTAGTAGATCCTTAGTGGTTATTTATGTTTATATGACCCTAAAAAGTTTTATTTTAATTGTTTTTCATTGAACTATAAAATTAATTCACTCCCTCTTTTTCTTCAAGATTTATAATTTTTTTTATTATAAGATTTTTCATTTATTCTCTCAAAATATTACAATTTTTTCATTTAATCACCCGTTTAAGAAAAATTAACTAAAATTTCATGATATTTATAAAGATTAAATGAAAAAATTGTGATATTTAGAGAAATGAAATAAATTTTCTTTATAATAGTTAGAAAGATAAAATGAGAAAAAAAATTACAAACTAAATTATTTGGTAAAAAATATATATTTCGAAAGACTTGTTTTAAAATATTACAAATAAAAAAATTATGAGGGGCTTACAAACTTAATTAAATATTTTTTAAAGTATATCTGTTAATTAAAAATTAGGGAAGTAATTTTCTTTGCGCAAGTTTTTTCACAGGACAATCTTGATTGAGGTAATGTTAAATATCATTTTCAAATGAATTTAAATAAGAATAGAATTGATTTTAATAATTTATTATATTTTATGTAAAGTAAATTTCTTGGTTTGTATAAATTTAATTTAATATCAACCGGAGAATATTAATTTGTTGCATAAGTAAGAACTTGTAACTTTAATTTCGATAGAATATAAAAATAAAAGATTTTGTTTCTTTTGTAACATCTCATGATAATTATCCTTTTAATACTTAAGATAAAATATTAAAAGAAAAATTCAACACATTGAAATTTTGAAAGTATAAAAAGTAAAAAGGCCTTTAAGTAATTTAATAATTAAAATTATTATTAAGAGAACACTGTGTAAGAATTCAAATTGATTCAAAATATGAATTCATCAACTGCAGGACCGCACCATCTTTTTGTTGAATCTGGGTAAGCAAATGTTTTCTGCAGGTCGAAATTTTCATGAAACTTCATTGCTGGCTAATTGGGCAACGCACAGTGTTTGGTCACTTACTCAACTTATGATATTGAATTTAAAGATCCTTGAAATTATCGAATGCTTTTTCATAGAATTTAAGTGAGATTTGTTTCAATGCAGCAGATTTTGTTCTACATGTGGCACATTCAGTCATTGTTTTGTTTCTTTACGTAATTTGACACATTAAAATAATAAAAAAAAAAACTACATAGATTAAGTGCATATTAAGTTAATTTTTTACATTTTTTTGTACAATTTTTTTATATTTTAATTACGAATAAATACTCTTTAAAAATAATATTTTTCTTCTATTTCTTTTCACTAGGTTTTACTAAATCGGATGAAGATTGCCAGCAATTATAGTAACAACTACATACTGTATAGTTTAGATCCAAATCGAATGGCTCACTAACTTTGACATTTGTCTATAAATTTGCTTTTTTGCGAAATCAAATTTTTGAACACTTGAGATCGTCCCTTTCGCGGCGGATATAAGAGTAAAAATTCAACTTTTTTTACCCAAGTTTTATTTTGGAATGAATCATTTGATGGTGAAGATGAGTATAAGGGTTACAGTGACGTCTTGAATTTTAAAGAAGCTGGTTTTGGGGTAGGAAAGGAGATAGAATTAGGGGATTGAGAGCCGTTGCCCCTTCAATGGTTCAGAGACTAAATCATCCAAATACAGGCGTAGCATAGAATTTGTGAGATATAGTTGCTGGTTTCTACAGCTTTGTCTTCTACTTGTTTTTGGTATCTTCAGGTTTTAGGATTTCTTTTGGGGTTATATGTGCAATTTGCACTAATGCAAAGCTTTAGACTTAATTGTGGTGACCATATATATGATAATCAAATAAGAGGTCGGTCGGTACATAGATTTATATCAAATAATAGAGCTTAATGCATTCTTGGCCTACATGTAACTATATAAAGAAAACTTGGAAGACTTGATTAAGAGTGTGTTGTAACAATCCGAGAATTTGCAAAATAAATGGGAGTTGTGCAATTTGAGAAACTTAACAAGATGCGGCGGACGCTATCTAGATCAATCTGGCTCACCAAACAGAGTAACTTTTATTATTTTGCTCCATAATTTGTGATTTAAAACAGTTAAATTTGGCTAATGCTGTCATAGCTTACTACCCAACTCAACAGGAAACAAAAAACTAACAACGAATGGTATGCTGTGAGATGTCTACGTCCGAGGATCTGAAATTAACGGAAACAAGACAAATGAAAAGGCGAACATAACGAAGTGTATTATAACTTACTCTCCTGTTACATTGGTAGAATCGCTAGACATCCTCAATTCCTTTACTTCTTTGTCTTATACTTCCTCAGAGCCAAAATTTCCCGGGCTTTCCAATGGAGAATAACACTATTTTCTCTCTTTTGTTGCTCCCCCTGTCTCTCTCTCCCCCCCCCCCCCCCCCCGCTATATAAAAGCACTCAGAAATCAAACCAGGCAAGTTGTTGTTGAATAGCATTCAATTAAACATTCAGTGTGAATAAGCATTATTCACACTGTTCCTCACTTTTGCACTCATTAGCAAACCTTTGTATTTGTAAGAGGGTGCAAAATTGTGAGAAGAGAATGACCATAGGAGCAGCACAGATGATGCTTAGGAGTGTCTTTGAAGTAAGCATATCAATGCAAAACATGGAGATAGAGCGGAGACCATACCACAAATATTGCTGCTGTGAGTTGCACAATTTAAAGCATGGTTGTTGTTGTGCTTTCCCCCAGAAGAGTATGATAGCCTTCACAAAGAGACAGTCATGGAGTAATTGCACCCTCTCCACAAAGGTTTCAAAATCTTCAACCTTTACTGAGGGAAGAATCCATGGGAAATGAGGTAAAAACAAGCCCAGCTCATACAATAAAATCATAGATGAGGAATTTCCTGCAGAAGAGTTAGAAGCAGAGGATACATAATTGAAACATCCTCAACTTGTGTCCTCCTTAACTTGTGTCCTCCTTTTCTTTGCAAAAGATTATGTAATCATGTGCCATTACTCAAGTACAATGTAATTGTAGCATAAAACCGTGGGAAACTACATGGCCATTCGGTTTACGTTGAGTAAAATTAGTTTGTTTCAAAGTTGAGAAAATTGTAGCATGTTAGTTTCCTCATTCTTGTAACTGAGATTAGCGAATAAACGGTCAAAAGGATATCAAGCATGAGTTACGAAGCATGTTGAACGGTAGTGAATATTTTTAGTTTTCAACAAAATCGATTCCAGGCCAGTTTATGAACAAACAAACCCTCAAACTATTGAATATAAATGAGATGCGTACATGACAAATTTCAATGTTTCATCTGACATGATTTTTCATTAGAACACATGAAAATTAATTTTTCATATGTAAAACAAACAAGGCCACTTTGACATTTCTACAAATAGAAATGTCTAAAATCTTTGAAATTATTTGCAGCAGATAGAAACAGATTTTTGCAGAATAAGAATGTTTATTTCCAACTTACAAGTGACTCTACCATTCCATACCAATGTTTATCTTCAGTGCCTGAATAGATTACGTACCCCACAGCTTTGGAATGAATGAATTAAACTGAAACCTTTCAAAGAATTTGAGTATGATTTTACATCCACCAGTTATATGTAATCCTCTGGGATAATATATACATGGAAACAAATTATGGCAGAGAAGGCGTGAGGGAAGGCTTTGTAACTTGCAGCTCCCCACAGTCACTAATATAAACAGTTGTTAGAGGCCTGTTCCATATGTTACGAGCATTTTGAGCCCTTTCATCTCCAAAAAATTTGGCCAAATTATTAAACTGGCGAATCCGTTCGGATGGTTGGTATGTTGGAATGGAAGCTATTGCTGTGATGACATCCAACCCTGCAATTAGATTCAATTAGGAGCTAAGCATTGCCATCGGTAACAAAGATAAAATTATGATTCACACAACTTAGTCCCCAACCATATCAAATATTTCAATATTTGAACAACTCCTTTGCGTCATCGGATAAAAAGGTTGGTGCACAACATGACTGAATAGAAGTCCAAAAAACATTAACTCTAAAATTACCTTTTACTGGTAGAGTCAGTTTCTTAAAATAAAGACATAATCATTCAATTAGCCATTTACCACCAGGTTTAGTTACCAAGCTTATACTATTATACACTATACACAACCAAACACTGCAAGTTACGAGTATTTAGAAGAATTTCTGCTAAGAATATTTGAACTAATAAAAATAAGTGCCTAATTAAACTATTTACTCGAACGCGTCCTTAGTTCAGCAAAATTACAATGTCACGACAAATGCAAACAGAATCTCAGATTTCTTGAACTCATTTATCGTGGAGATAGATACAGAATCTCAAACTTAAATGTGAACACCAACAATGCGCGACAACAAATGCAGAATCTCCAGAGTGTGGAACTAATATTTGCCCATGACTGTTGGCGCTTCCGATCATATCCCAAATACTGACTAATAACATGAACCATTGAAACAAAGATCAAACACATTTGATGCCATTGAGCACGATTCAATTCCATATATGCAAAAGATAAAATAATTATCAAGATTTACGAAATTGTCCTATTTTCAATTTCCCGTTTGCTCAATTCAGAATTCCAATATTATGAGTTAACAATAATAATAAACTTTTATTTAGTGCATGTTTGACAACATGTTAAAAATCACGATGCAAAAGCTACAACCAGTAGTGAAGTAAAAACATGGATCCATAACCGTTCAAAATCCAAACACAAACACAAATAGTTTTCATTGAAAATCATAAAATATCATAACATCCAATGCAAGAGTTATTTAATAGAAATTATTCATTAATTTCTTTTTATAAAAGTCGATGATAACAATTATAGTTATTGACTTTGACCTTCGAGTACAGTTCCGAAGACAATGTTCCTATAATCGAGCTGGGGGCAAGGGCCGGGTCCAGTGGTGATCAAGAACTCAACGTTGCGGTAGCCAGGGTCAAGCTTGATGTCGTCGTCGTCATCGTTTTCGGAGAGTGAGAGCGAAACGACGCCGGGTTTCGAATGTGTGAGAACAAAGGCTTTAGCGTCAACGGTTTCGGTGTTGCGGGGCAAATCGTGCGGTGGCCGGACTTCGCCCTTGTCGGGGCGGCCCTGGCGGCCGGCGAGAAAGTACTGGCCGGGAAATATCTTGTGGACGAGGGTGTTCTTGTAAGAGATGGGCCCCAGGCCCAAACACAGGGACTTAAAGTTGGAGACGGTGAGGGGGACGAGGTTGCCGTAGAGGCCCAATACGACGCGGCCCAATAAGGTGGAATCGGAGCAGAGGGGGGAGAAGGTGTCGCCGAGGGTGCGGTTTGGGTTGGGAACGAAGGAGTTAGGGCAGAGGCTGAAGTCCATGAAGACGCGGTCGGTGATGGTAGTGTTGGGAGAGGGTGGTGCGGCGGCGAGGGAGGGACGGGAGAGGGTGGTTGTGGTGGTGGTGGTGGAGAGGAGGAGGAGGGAGCGGCGCGTGAAGTGGGTGGGGAGAGGGAGAGAGGGTGGCGGTGGTAGAGAGTGGGCCATCGAGGAGTGGAGTGACTCTCTTCATTTTGCAGTTTGGTCGTGCGGCGGAGAACTTGCAGGGGAAGAGTGGGGTCTACCTTACATAGGAAACGGATAATGTAAATAATTGTCTTATAATTTCTTTTTAAAAAATACAAATACAAAATTATTCTTTTAAAAAATAAGCTCCTGTTTGATAATTTATTTTTATATTATATATAAAAGTCGTTCTTCCAAAAAAAAATATTTTAAAGAAATGATATTAAATAAGAGATTTTTAAAAGTTATTTTATTTTTTATTATGACATATAACTTTTTTGTGTTCAATATTATTTATTAATTTATTTTTTATTTAAAAAATTAATTTATCCCTATTAATATGATATGATATTTATAATTATAATATAATTATTTATATTTTTAAAAATTTATAAAACTTATTAAATCTTAAAATAGTTATAGAATATATCTTTAATTTTTATTTAAAAATATTTTAATTTAATAAAATTTATACAATGCATAGAAAATTTATTATTATAATTTTAAAATTATTTTAATGTAAATATTTTTCATGATTTTGAATTAAATGTTATATAAACATTACAAATAAAAACAAAAGTTTGATTTTATTTTATTTTATTTTATTAGTTATTTAATGGGGGCTAATGATCCAAATAAAACAATAAAAAAACTAAAAATTATCTTTGAAAATTCAAAAGCATACTTCCTTAAGATGATAACAAGAAGAAGAAGAAGGGGACTATTTAAAAATCTATAACATTTACACTACATGTGAGCTAGATTTGTCAAACCATCAATAATTCTATTAGTTTTTTAAAACATATGGTAACTAATTATTTTACAAGACTAAATTAAAATTTTAATGTTACAAAATAAATTTTAATTTATTTTAAATTTGTATAGATAAATTAAATAATCAATCAAGAGTCTATTTTGACATAAATCTTATCAAATTTAAGGTTTTTAATTATGTAAAAACTCATCGAAAGAGCCCATAATTTTGTTGAAATTGAAGAATAAGAACTTAGATTACTCACAAATCTGACTTTGAATTCATTTTAAGCATGTCGAACTAAACCCACACCTTTATCTTTTGCAAGTAAACTAAAACATCTACATTCAACTTTAGTTTATTATTGAAAAGATGAATTCAAGATATGATAGCTTTTTGTTTAACAAATTTAAGTGAATAATTTTCGGTAGAACAAAAATTATAATTAACATATAGTTAGCATAACTCTTGTTTTAGACAACTAGAGAGGATCTATTTTAGCTTTTCTACTAAAAATTTATGAATTTTTATAAGGATGTAAATAGTAATTCCAAATAACACATTCAATTTATTAAAGTCATTCAAAACCTTACTTTGAATATTAAATTCTGATGAGTCTATAAATCATCTAGAAAATTAGAGATTTTTGGCATATTTCATTGAATTTAAATCATAAGTTAATGTAATTAATTAGAAAATTCAATAAAATGTTGCAAGTATTAAAAAATTTGTATAAATCATTCATATTCTGATGTTGGTAATTAAATTTTTTAAGGAAATTAGACAAAAAGTGGCAATTGGGCTAAAGGACGAAAGTTAAGTGCTGCAGGACACACTTTGTGGGGACATGAACTTTTATTTGTCGGGACACAATATTGACTGATGCATATAAAAGCAAAAAAATTCTGAAAAGACAGCATCTTTTATCTTTCCTTTTTTAGAACATTCTGGAGCACAGTTCTCTAGGTTTTGATACAGTTTTACGTAGAATAGGGTAACTAGGGCAATTTTCTTACATCTTGATAGAAGGATTCTCATGGAAACTTTGATTTCCTTTCCATCTTCTCTAATTTTTCTAATAGAACAGTAACTCTTTTATTTTCATTTGTTGTAAGTTTATCTGCTGAACATGACTCTTATCTTTTCAATATATTTTAGTTTATTTCTTTTCATTTTCATTATGTCTTGTTAAATCTCCTGGAGATTGGGTAAAGATGAACTTATACATTTACCCATTGCAATGAATTAAACATTATATGTGATTCAAGATGAAAACTTTAATATAACTTTTTAATTCTGAACTTAGTATCTCGCTGTTCTACGTGAATGAGGTTGATGTAAAGGAGTTCATTACTGGAAAGTTGTGAGCTTTCTTGGACTGGGGTTAAAATGCTTATTATGAATTGTCTAAGAATAGAAATTTATGATAATGTGATCATATGAGTTTTATCCTTAATGCTGAACGTTTTTTGTTTACCTAAGGGATTAGGAGATTAAAAGTTATTTTAGAACTAATTACCAAGGGATTAGAGTTGAATAATTTAGACAACCTGACCATTAGATTGGCTATATTTTAAGTTACAAATATATTTTAAGCAAGGAAAAAGGGATAAGGGATTCTAAACTCAACCCATTTATTAATCTTTACAAAAACATATTTTTTCTACTTGAATTATTTACATTCTGCAGTCCTGTTAATTATTTTTTGTATTAAATTTTATTTTTGTCTATTTATTAATTGTAATTCCAGCACCTTTACTTTCAGTTTTACAATTTTGTTGTGTTTAATTTCGTACTATTATATATACCTGTTTTTGGTGATCCAACTAGTAATATTCTTGTGATTTGATACTTAACACTTATTTCTGTGGATAATAATCTTTATAACTTTAACCATTTGATGCACTTGTCAAAAAGTTTTATCAAATACCAACCACCTACTTTAGACTAAGTGGAAAAAAAGAGCTCAACAATTGCCATATGAATTAAGGTAGATCAAAATTCAATAACAACAAAATAGTTTCATAACATGCACTATAGATTCAAAATCCAAACCACTTCTATCACTGCTATTAAAAATAGCAAAACTTGTTATTCTTCATTAATAAGAAGCATATCATGAGTCATTCTCTAAAGAAAAGTTCTAATTTTTCAGGAATCTAACCATTTTAAATAATCTTAAATATGTTATTTTGATAATCAAAATTATTTTAATTTTCACTAATTAGTTTTAAGCAAAATTGAGAGTGAAAGTCTCATTTAAAGAAGAAAATCAACTCACAAAATCTAAATCAATACTAAATATAGGGAATAATATCGAATATTAACTCATAAATGGATTGAAACACAAAAAATTTATAAATACCGTAAAAATACTATGAAGATTTTATCAAGAAAGTGTTAAAATATCACCAAAATTGTGGTGCTTGTCACAAGACTTCCTTAACCTGCCACATGTCTCACTCTCTTATCGTAACGCTATCACACACCCTGCTTTACATTTCTAGTTTTGTTACGTGTCATGACCTAAATTTGTGGCATCTTATCAACTTCCTTTACACACTTGACAGATATCAGGCGTTATATTTTCATGCGTGATAATTTTTTTACCTTTAATTTTGTTGATAATTTAACTATTGAAAATATTAATTTTTAAACTACATTAATATGATAAATATTATTTAAATTTTATATTATTCTACTAAAAAAGGCACCGAATCTAAGCATCCATGTGGCATAGAAGAAAAGAATGGTCCTGACCGATCAGTGCCTACACAATAGGATTTCACTCCCTACAAATCTAGGTAGGTTGGTAGCAACGTTGAATTCCTTGTTTCATTTGCAATCTTTTAACTTACACTTCTCATTTTCTTTTTATTATATTTTGTTTTCTTTTTCAGACATGAGAGAGACAGAGAGAATGCTATTAAAAAAAATTTCAAGTCACATTCAAATAAGTAAACACCTACTTTAATTTCCAAAGAAAAAGCTCACAAGTAATTCTTCAATTGTTTAACATCTTTTAGTTTATAATTAATTTTATGATGAATTATAATCCCTCTCCCTTATGTTAAGCAATAGTTATATGATACCCTTCTTTCAAAATATTAACTCAAATGAGTAAAAACAATACATGACCTAAACTATTACAAGTATGGTCGTTCCATACCTCAGAACAGGGTGAAATGATCAGAACAAAGAGACAAACAATATGCGATGAAATAGTAATATAAAAATTGAAAGAAAGAAAGGTATATAAAAAACTATTTTGAAGAAGAAATCCATAAATATAAAAGAAGAAAGAAACAAATCCTGAATTAGGCAAACATTTGACGGAGCTTATCCGAATAGGTGGGGGCGATAGAAGAAAGGCAGTGTACAAACAGAGAGTACAGAAGACTACGAGTATGAGAAATGGAAACGGAAATGGAAAAATGCAAAATTGCAAGTGAAGGTTTAGTTAAGTGGAACCCACAAAGAGAGGGTGAGGACCACAATTGCAATCCTATTTTGAAGTTTTTGTTTTACCCTAAAAGGGACCACGAAACAGTTGCGCGTGACCTGTGTCTCTGTCCCTGTCGCTGTCCCTCTCTATCTGTGTTGTGTCCGTCAGAACAATGCTTCAGCCGCCGGCACCTCTCACCCTTCCGTCTTCGGCTATTTCTAATTCCTATTACCTATCTTAGCTGCGTTAATTGCAGCCCCACCTCTGCTCTGCCAACCTGATTCATTTACCTTTGGCCCGCACTCCTAAATCTTCCAGTACTATGTTGTGGTCCATGAAACCTCCTCGCGACACGTGTCGACAGTGGGTGCTCAGGTCGCTTTCGGGTTGGGTAGTGCCCAGCCCAGGCCACTGCCACTCCCCTCATACGTCGTTTTGGGTCCTCAAGAAGAGAGTCATTGTGCCATTATTAACAGTTCGATTAAAGAAACCATCAAAGTTCTTGACCAAGCACGGCACAGGGTAACTCATAAAGTAAATTGTCACTTCTAAATTATCTGTTGCAAGGTGCCTCCACTCTGCTTCGCTGTACCTTCATATTTTCCCCCCTCCTATCTTGTTTACGCTCCATCTACCATCCACTATTGCCACCCCTAACCATCACCTATAGCTATAGCACCTTTCTCACCCCTTCCCCTTTTTTTAATGCAGCATCGAAACAAGGTTAGGTTAGGTTAGGTTAGGTTAGGACTTAGGACTTAGGACCCATTCATCCCCAGGAAAAAGTCCTCTTCATCTTTCAATTATAATTTCCCCTCAAACAGTGAAACAGATTTTCCCCCTATTTTTAAAGATATCTTTGCCTATCTCCAAATTAAATAAATGAAGACAACACGTCGGCAGAGTGTGTACTCTTTCGGAACCATATCTTATTCTTAATATATTTACAAGATGATTAGTTAAAAACGCAAATAGTATTATTTTATTCACATAATTAAACAAATAATGTCATTAGCTGCCTCCAACATCATTCACCAATCTTTGTCTTATTACACCAAAATCTCTCCAATAAGGTGGCACCACAAATCCCTCCACGTTATCACCAATCCCACCCTTCAATCCTTTCACACTCCCTCGATCTTCGTGTCAACCCTTCAAAAAGTCTTCCCCCACAGAAAAGTGCTTTTCCAAACCCCTTCTTCCTCCTTCCTTCCCACCGCCACTACCACTCCACCCCTTTCCCTTCTCCCATTCTCCAATCTCCGTCACCAACTCCAATTAAATGTAGTGGGAGCCCGCAAGAGATACAAAGAAACAAAACAACAGCATCAACTCATCGAAAGCGCTTCATTCATTAAGCCAAAATGGCTTTCCACGACCATCTACCGCACGAAATCACGTTTCAGCCATTCACGGACGAGCAGCAGTTAGGTCAGAGCAGAGACATGCAGAGGCTGCTTCCACTCTCGGCCGCCTCCGGCGGCGGCGGCGCGGGGCCGACGTGGCTGAACAGTAACGCCGCCACGCTCCGGCAGCAGAATTTTCTCCACTTGCAACCCGACTCGACCGCGCACCAAAACGACGACGTTCGGGGGAGCATGATGGGATCGGAGAAAAGCTTGGATCGGAACCGGACGGAAAGTAACTCGGAACCAGACGCTTTGGCGGAATACAAAGCTGACATTTTGGGACACCCACTTTACGATCAGCTCTTATCGGCTCACGTTTCGTGTTTGAGGATCGCAACGCCCGTTGACCAGCTTCCGAGGATCGACGCGCAGCTTCAACAGTCGCAGCGCGTCGTTGATAAGTACTCTGGCCTTGGAAATGGAGTCGTCGATGACAAGGAGCTCGATCAATTCATGGTTTGCTTTCTCTCTAAAATTAAAACCTTGTATTATTATTACTATAATTATTATTTTGCTTAGTTATATGTACCCTTATCATCCTATTATTGTTAACCCTATTCTATTCTATTCTTCGTGACTTTTGTCTCAGTACTTCAATCCACTTTTCTAGGAGTTGAATGGTTTGATTCAAGGGCGTGTTTGTTTTCGGATTTTTGGTTTTATAAACTGTGGACTATTATTAGGCTACTTTTGGATTGTGTTAATTTGTTAGGCTTTGACAAATGTCGTTTGTTCTAGCTTTGGGTGCTTTTGTTAAATCGCAAACGATGATTCCTTTTGTGTTTCTTTCCTTTTTTCCTTTTCTATTTTTATGATTTTTTAATTATTATTTTGCTAAGGTTAGACCCTTCCTTTCCTGATTTTCCGGAATTTGTTGTATGAACTTTGGAAAACAATAAAAGAAAAGGGCACTGTCTGTCGACTAAGGTAGAACAGTTAGATGATTGTAGGTGCTAGGTGCAGAATTCACGAAGTGGAAAAAAAACGAGAGAGAGAGAGAGAGAGAGAGAGAGAGAGAGAGAGGAAAAGTAACATTTTTCTCTTACATGTTGGACGGTACGACTAGTGTGAGTAAATGATTCTGATTTGTCCTTGTGTAGTGTAAAGTCATTTGACGATGCATGATTAATTACGTTCCCATTAATTTAATAGTGTTTTTCTTCTAGAATCTTTATTGTCGTCATAATCTTCTTCCAGCTTGTTCGATGTTTCACTTGGTTACTTTTTTTCCTTTTTGGTGGAAACTTAATTTGGTGGTTATGTGCTATCGAATTCTTGTAGAATATGTTCTTACAGACCAACAACTTGTAGAAGCTCCTCGCCAATTTTCGTCGACCCTTTCCCCTTGCACACGTTACTTGTTTGCTCAACTACAATAATGAAGCAATGGGACCTTATTCGTTATAATAGTTGTGCTCAGTGGATAGCAGTTGGCGTATCATCTATTTATTAATGCATAAAAATGATAATCACTTCACACAATAATCGGGGAGAGGCAAATATCAGATGAAGATTTTAGCATTAAATAATTCTCAATATTTTATTAATGCATGTGCTAACTTGGATTGACTGAGACATTATGATCTACTAATTGGCTATTACTAAGTCACGGCTAAAGAAGAAACAAAAATAAAATAATCGTTTTTTGAAGCTTAGCACCTCACTGTTTATCTGTTCATTAAAATTATAACCTTTCATTTCCTTTCTTCTGAATGTTTTGATTTGGATATTTTTATTTCCTATTGTTGCCTATAGTTTTGTAGTTTTACTTGAAGCTCCTTAATGTATAAGTTTTGCTCTTGGCTTTGTTGTAGACTCATTATGTTCTACTGCTCTGCGCTTTTAAAGAACAATTGCAACAACATGTCCGTGTTCATGCCATGGAAGCTGTTATGGCTTGTTGGGAGCTAGAGCAATCTCTACAAAGCTTGACTGGTATATTTCAACTTTCACAGAAATCGTTCTCTTTAAACCTTCCACGTTGCTGTGTCTTATAAATTAAAATTATTAAGCGCTCATTTAATAAAAAATTGAAGGAGGGGGAAAAGAAAAAACGGCAACAGAAGTTGGAGATAAGTGCAATTCACAATGATGAGTAAAATCTTATGTTATTATTTCATGCACCAAGGTTGAGTGAATAAATCCAAAACAAGAGTTAAGTAAACAAAAATGAAAGAAAAAGTTTAAAAACTCGTCATATTGTAACTAAAGATAATTGTTTTTCTTATAAGCGAATAAAGAAATAAATTAAAGAGGGTATAAGGGTACTCAAATCATTTATATGACGAGAATAATTACATAACTTCAAGTCCAATAAAGGTTCACATTTGTTTTTACGTTTCATTTTTTTGAGAAAAAGTACGTTAAAACGTGTATTTTTCTACTTTATTATCTAAACGCAGTTTTATTGGTTAAACAACTGAAAGTTAACTTTCTACGTGATATTTTTTATTTTTCATTTTTTATGCATGTATCCTAAAAATGCATTAAAAATGACCATTTTCATTTTTAATCTTTCAAGGTATTTATGCATCATATGAATTATAAACTGGACAAAGGACAATATCATAAAGACTAATATAAGGGTTTTTCTCCTACATGCAACCGAGTTGATGGAGAGGAACATAGACAATATATATATATATATAGTCTTTGAGCTTTGGGTTTGGATGAACAGGTGTATCTCCCGGCGAAGGAACGGGTGCAACAATGTCGGATGACGAAGAAGACCAGGCAGAGAGCAATGCGAACTTATACGAAGGAAGCTTGGATGGAGCTGATAGTCTAAGCTTTGGTCCTCTTGTGCCCACTGAAAGTGAAAGATCTTTGATGGAGCGTGTGAGGCAGGAGTTGAAGCATGAGTTGAAACAGGTATATATATATATATATATATATATATATGTATATAGTTATAGTTACCATCATCCAAAGCATGAGTTGAAGACATAACTTTGCAAGTAAGGATTGTTGCAATGGATGAAGCAGGGTTACAAGGACAAGATTGTTGACATCAGAGAAGAAATTCTACGAAAGAGGAGAGCGGGGAAGCTCCCAGGCGACACCACTTCCCTTTTGAAAGCTTGGTGGCAGTCACATTCCAAATGGCCCTATCCGACAGTAAGTTTTCACATTACAGTTTTTAAACTTATTAGAATTTATACAATTAGAAAATTTAATGATATTTTTTAATTTTTAATTTTAATATATAATATACTTTTAAAATATAAATAAATATTAATTATTAAATTACATATTTATAAGTGTCTCATTTATTAAAATATCATGTTATATAACAATCAAATTTATATTTTATAAAAAAAAATATTAAATACGCATACCTGTATGTATTATGAAAGTTATAAAATTGTGTTAGAAATAGTTGCAAGTATGTTAATAAATATTATGTATGAGATTTTTAATATATTTAGTTTTTCAAAATACATGCTCTCTCTATATATTTACGCACGAGCATGTGTCATGTTATATGTACTATATATATGTAGATCACTATTATTTTCAATAATATTTTATTTATTTATTTTAATGCCAATGATGACGAGGAGATAATTATTTTATTTGAATGTTTAAAAATTAATTTTAGATATAATATTGTATATATAGATTTAATGTAAATATATTCTTAAAATTAAAAGAGACAACATATATATGTTAAGGACGATGCTGTGCGCATTTATCATTTCGATGATTGCTGACACACGTGAATGTCCTTTCAGGAAGAAGACAAGGCAAGGTTGGTGCAAGAAACAGGCTTGCAATTAAAGCAGATAAATAACTGGTTCATAAATCAAAGAAAAAGGAATTGGCATACGAATCCTTCTTCTTCTAGTGGCTCCAAAAGCAAGCGAAAGAGGTGAGTTTATATAGGCTAATTCACTGTTTTTTGCATTGCTCCAAATCATGAAATATTCAGTAGAACTGTGTTAATGCTAAATGTTACTTTTGGATAGTAGTGGCGCAGGAGAAACAAGTAACCAGAGCTTCATGTGAATGGACACCTGTTTTGAACAGGGAAAAAAAAGAAAGAAAGATAAAATTAGTGTTAGTCTTCATTTTAAGAAACAATGGTGGGATTCATAAGACAAGAGCTTACAGTGAAATGGTGGGATATGGATGTTGAAGCGTAATTTGTGGTACCACTATATTTGCTTGGTTCAATTATAGAAGCTGCTGAGATGATACCTGATCTTTTGTTTTGTTGCTGCCACATTCTGTTTGATTCAATGGGTATCTATGAATGAGTGCTGATACATATATTTGTAATGTATTAAACTTGAAAGTTTTTGAAAGAAAAGAAAAGAAAAATACTTGCATGTGCTATAAATTGATGATCAGTTTTATTCATTACACACATAGGTTTCCTACATCTTGTTTCTTTGTGTGGCAATACAATTCTTGTGCCTATAATCTACTATATCGTTTGGTCTCATTGGATTTTTTGTGCGGTTACTTTGGTATTTTTATTTATAATCAACTTTTCAATTTAAAAATTGTCAAATCTAGTAAATATAATCTCTCTTTATCGATGTGTTTGTCTTTCTTCTCTATCTTCTTTATCTTGCATTTTACAAATAAAAATATCCATTGGACATCAAATTTATTTACAGTTAGTGTACGTTTGGTCTCACATAATATTTACAATCGTTGTGTTGAAATTCATGTGCATTTGAGTTATTTAAACACCAAAACAAACACAAGCGCGGTGTATTTAGTTTCACGTTGATAGGTCATAAATTTGTCTACATTAAAGTTATTATTTGTAATTTTTCATTAAATTTTAATTATAATTTTTTAAATATATTTCAAACATTATTTTGCAGCCCTTTCATTTGTTGTGTGTTTTGTATATAAAAGCACAAAAGCACCCATACAAACATCTTCTATTATTTGTGTAACTAGAGGATTAGAGCACTGTCCCCAACCTATATCCAAGAAGTCTTAAGATGCTAATTGCTTTTTCTTTTCTAATTAACCCGCAATTTCAATTTGATGAAATTGAAGGTTTTTAAGTACTTTCTTCTTTTAACCTTTCGGTTTACATTGCACTAAAATTTGCAACTGTTAACACTTTTCTATCAATAGTTTCGTTTGCAACCGTAAAAAATGGTTGAATTAAAAAGAAAAATTGAACATATATTTTTATTTTGAAGGCAAAAGACTAAGACTTATTTCATGATTTATAAACTAAACAACAGAGAAAATTGGGTATTCTTTCTCACAACGCTTAAAATAATTAGATTCGTTAAACAAGTTAATTCGACTTAATTGGACTAGATTATAACATGTTAAACTTAATAGTAAGCCAACTCAATTCAATTCATCTTTGAAGCCAATAAGAAAATGTTATCTTAGCTCAGCTCACTAATTTGATGAATTAGCTCATCAAATTTTAAAACAATTAACAAAAATAACAACGTAAACATTGAAATAATAAAAAATAATCTTGATAATAATTTAAATCAAGGGTCATGTATTAGGTGGAAAAAATTAGGTACTTTATTAATTAATTTTTTTATAACATGATTTACCAAAAACTCACTCTTGATAAGTTGACTTACACACTTTAAAAAAAGAGTAACATGTGAGAGTACGTGCATTGTTTTCCGCAATTCAGTTATTAACTGCATTTTGTGATTCTTCCTACGCATATCTGTACTATAAACAGAAGGTGAAGATTTCATACAAGTCAAATTATATTTTTGTCTTTTTCTATTGTCATTTCATTTACCCAACCTATTGTTCATTTAACTAAAATTATTATTTTTATCTATTTTCCTTCATTTTTATTTAATATAAATTTTCCATTTTGTAATTAATATATTGTATATTATTTCATTTGTTTATATTGATTGCATAAAACTTTGTTATAGTAAAAAGTATTTTTATTTTGTATTTTTATTTAATGTTGTATGGTTAATATTTTCTACAAAGTGAAATACTAACGCCAACTACACTATAATACAGTAGTGAATGTATGTTTTGTAATTTTTATATTAGAGCTTTTAAATTATTTTACATATTTTTTTACAATAGGATCGGCATTTTTTAAAAAATATTCTAATCACATTACATTAATATATTCTTAAAATTATGATTCGTAAGATACGTGAAATGAAAATAATTTTTAAAACCTTAATGTAGAGATTATGTTTTTATCAAATATTTTATTTTAATACATGTATTAGTTTGAAATATTTTTTGAATTTAAGAAATTTTAAATGTTATATGTAGAAATTTAAAGGAGTTACAGATGCTTTAACTAAATGTTTATGTGTTTATACATGTATTACAATATAACATTTTATACTTGTTTTAACATTAACTACTTTAAAATTATTTTAACAGAGATGTCTCTCTCTCTTCTGATGGAGATGCAGAATTATTATAACAGATGAAAAATAAAAGATATAAAAGCATAACATTTGCACGTTCATCCAATAATGGGTATTGTAAGCATTAAAAAATAGACCATGTTATATTTTAGGATAATACTAAATGGTACGAAAGAGTTTTCACCAAAAATTTGACGAAAGTGGTTGCTCACAATTTTTGTCAATTATTTATTTATTTATCATTTAACCATAAAATACAACCACCTTTGTATTCGATTAAATTTGTACTAATTTTTTATTGTGACAATAATTTCAATAATTTACTACAAAATCTGATTTATTGTCTCAAAATCATTATTTTATAATAAAAATAAATGTAGATGAAAATAAAATGAGTTTTGTTAGCCTTAAGAATTTAAGTACCCACAAATAAAAAAAATATTGTATTGAATTTATAAAAACACAATAAATACTTCTCTTTTTAATAAAATTTTACTAGTTTATCCTGAGATTAACAAAACTCAAATAAAATTTAAAATAATTTGTAGGACCTATTTAATATACTGTTTAGAGCTACGTAACTAGAGAAAAGAGTAGTTTAAATTGTAAAAATTGTCTTTGTAAGATTCTTCTGAAGATGTTTCCCTTCTTTTGAGATTTCGTTTGGCTGTTTGAGAGAGTAAAGGCCAATTGAAAGGCACATTAAAAGCGAATGATGAACTAAAAAGATTCTTTGGCCGTTGGCACAGAGAGAAGGAAAAGAAATCAAAGAATGATTTGTTTACAACGTCTATGATGGGAATACTTTCCTCCTTGAATACTACATCTATTCACATCCTTGTTTTATGATAAATTTTTATGAATCGTCTCCTTCCCCATCTTTCATTTGTTTTGAGAAAGAGAATTGTTTTAGCTAACGTTTGGCCTGTAATTAAAAGGGGGTCACCAAGCTACAAGTCCTGTTTCTTTTAACGTTCGTTGTTGAAGTTAGCAAGTGGAAAAGGAAAAGACGAGATGGTCAAGTTTGAACAAAAAAGAATGATCTTTACAAAATGAATAATTAACGATTACATCCATGAAAAATACTAACAAGTGAAGACATTTAAGCAATAAAATCTCTTTAAAAACAAGCACGCCAAAGTCATAGTTCAGTTTGCCTACGACCAGAGGGAAAAGGAGCACTAAATCTAGCTGAGAAACTGGGAGGCATGTCATCATCTTCACTCTGAGCCCCACTATTGAAGTTGAGAGCATAGCTATGTTCATCATACTGAAACCTATTCTTCTGCTGCTTCTTGCCATACCCACCTAACTTTCGAATGAACGTCTTCCACTTGGGACCCGCAATCACTTCTGAAACCTCCTTCATCTTCCTCAACTTGCAACTCACCCAGGAATCACCTCTTTGCTCCAGCAGGCCTTTACCTTCTTCACTGCCTTGCCACCATCTCAACCCAAAAACTCGAAAGCATCCATAATAACATCCGCTGGGGCCTTGGTGATCATTGAAATCTTCCTTGTGTTCCACTGCCTCTACCAATGGCCTTCCTTCCGAAGCAGCCATATTTTCAGAGAGAAAGGAAAGTTTGTGAAGGTTTGGACATGAGGGGATTTTAATCAAGTAGATAATATTTATAGGTGATGTTTAAGAGAGAGAGAGAGAGAGAGAGAGAGAGAGAGAGAGAAGAGGAGGAAATGTCAAAGAAAACGAAGCTACAACTGTCTTGAAACATCTCCAACTAAATAATAATAATAATAAAAGTATGTAGCCTATGGAATTTAGAAATGCCAAGGACGGTTTTACGCGATGTATCTGGCAATTGGCATGTCCGTCACTCAAGATATAATAATACAATTTAATACTAGAAAAAGAAAAGGCAAAATAAATGAAAAGTGAAAATGATATAATAATATATGGATTCAATTTCATGTTGCCCCACGCCGACTCCAACGGTACGCTGGGTCACCCTCAGCTGTTGGTGGCTCACACGTACATCAGGATGGATGGTAATGTGTAGCAAAAAAATTTATTTGTGGGGAACCCGTTACCCGTTAGCAGTATGTAATAAACAAAAGAAACAGTCTTAGGTTAGTACAGTAACACATCCCCAGTCAATAATCCCTCCACAACATTACTGTAAGTGCTAAACTCTTTCTTTACAATATTAATTTTTACAAGCACTATAAAAATTAAAAAATAAAAATTTAAAAATATTAACATCTTTGCTTTTTCTTTTCCTTTTCTGTTTAACTAAAAGTGACACATAATGTTCACTGAGGTTTGGATGTAATACAAGAATATGTAGCAGTGCTAAAAGGTATGACACCTATTAACCTTGTCTGACACTTGCAAACTTTCCCTACGGTATATATTGAAATTGAACAAAGCATTGATTCGCCAAATGAATGAAAAACACAAACCAGAGACATATCAGGGATTGAGCATCCTGCAGTTGTTGGAAATCATTTCTGTACTTGACTCTCTGATGAAGCAGGTTGCTGCTGTTGATTTTGTCCTTTGGGAGAGATCTTGGCTGCCATGGAACGTAATTCGTTGGCAATCACAGTGAAGGATGGTCTTTCTGATGGTTCTGATGACCAGCACCTCTCCATTAGCAGTCTCCATTCAGGATCACATGATTCTGGAACTGGAGGCCGCAAAGTGTTGTTTACAATGCCACCTGAATTATTTTTGAAAAAACCAACATCTCAATAACCAAAAACAAGTGAATAAAAGGCTATTACGGATTCAAACTTTGATTTACCTATGATGGCCCCATAGTGCAAATCAGCATATGGCTCTTCTCCGGTTAGGAGTTCCCACATGACAATACCAAACGAAAACACATCAACCTGAAACATCAATTTTATGAGAACACAACTAGTTTACAGAATGACAACATATGAAAGCATCAAAATAAGTCAGTGATTCAAATAAATAAAGTATAAACTAAACCTTCTCTGAAACAAGGCTACTGCTCCCATTCAGTAGTTCTGGGGCCATCCAAGGTAGGGTTCCTCTCACACCACCAGATATTAAAGTCTGGCATTTCACTTTGGACAGACCCAAGTCACCAACCTGGAATGAAAATCAGAAGGGTCAATAACCGATATATAGAACAATATATATTCAACTGCTTTATGCTAAATGTAGAGTTGTGTGGACAATGAAAATAAGTATCACAGATACTAAAATCAGTTCAAAATTTCTGGTAAAAAATGTGGCTTAATGTTGCAGAGGTGGAGCTAAATATAAGTCATTAGGTGAATCTGGGTATATAGAAGTTGGTCCACTAATTATTCACCAGCTTATATATAACAGTGTCATGCATGTCTAATTCGAACAAATACAGAAGAACCAGATTTCTAAGGTGACCACTTCAGAATAAAACATTTCAACCTTGCATATTGGTCGGTGTGGATCACGGAGATTCACAAGCAAGTTGTCACTTTTCAAGTCAAAGTGGACAATGTTTTTTCCATGCAGATACTCCATACCGAAGGCCACATCCATTGCAATCAGAAGACGCTTGCGCTTGTCAAGATTCCTGATATGATTACTTAAGTATCAAACATTTACCATTAAGGCAATATTGATATATAAGATCAGAGTAATGGAAAGCAACCAACATAAGGGTGTGTGAACATGCACCTACACCTGCACACATACAAATACATGAACACACTACCTCCCATTCTTCTGCAAGGCATTTCTTAGAGAGCCATTGACCATAAACTCTGTTACTGTTGCCACAAAACCGCCAGGGCCATCAAGCACAACACCATAGAATGCCACTACATTTGGATGATGCAAGTCAGCAAGCTTGATTGCCTCATTCCAAAAATCAGCTTTCTGCTTAGTATATAAACCATGAAAAATGTCAGCTAGTTTGTTGGATAGCAAAGAAACAAGGGGGAATAGAAATCAGAACCATTGACAATGAGACAGACCAAGCGCTCTTGCTCTGAAGGCTTTCCAGCAAAACACCTATCATTAATCCGTTTTATTGCAACATCAGTACCCCTCCATTTTCCGTGATATACAGTCCCAAAGGTCCCAGAACCCAATTCCGTCTGCTCTTCAAGGTCACAATTTTTTATAAACTGGCCACATCCCCACAGCAAGGTTTTAGACAAGGTGAGCTGGCAATATGAAGGCATAAAAGAGGAAACATACAATAGAATTATAGAAAACATTAAACCTGCAATGCTCCAATATCCGATCCTGGAAAGCCAAAATTTGCCTTCTCTGGGAGCTTGCTTCTGACATCCTAAGAAGGGAAAAAAAATAATTGTATTATAGTAATAAAAATTATAAAATCACACTCAAGTAGGGATAGCTGCAACCTGCTTCCTATCCTGACAGGAATGAAAAATTAATATCCAACTTTTTGTGTAACACCGTATTTTTTTCCTTAAATAAGTCATATTCATATATCAAGCACATTTTACATAGATACATACATAAAATGAATGTAAATAATTTTAAGATAATAGGAAATTTAGGAACAAATCATATCATATTGCTACTACAAAGATGTAAGCTTAACTTCATAATTTAACTATCATATGATTTTATTATCAAGGTGGGGCAAGATTGGGTTGCAGCAGGTATCGGACCCCAATCAACATTGTGGTGGGATAGATACCCTTAGGCATCGTATGGGCTTTTTTGCCATGTATAAATCCAATGGAGAGGGCAGAAAAGTATTATACTTTGTAAACTATTCCAGCCATGGGCAAGATGGAAAAGATAATATAAATAATCAGGAATGAGCATACAAAGTCACCTGAGCTTTATCTTTATGCTGTATATCTATTATACTATTTTGAACAACTCCATTGTCGATGTCCTCACAAAGGGACACATTTCTGGCATGCAAATCAAGATTTGAAGAAGTGCTTGAGCGCAGAACAGAAGCAGCTAAACCTTCAGCAACAGCTTGAAGTTGTCGGTCTTCTGACAAGAGTTCAATAAAGAAAGCAAAACACAACGAATATGAGCTAAAAAGCTCCAAAGTTATGTATGATCAATAAAGATAACTTATTTAAGGCTTTAACAGTTTGCATACCCATGGAAGATTGAGCTTCTTCTAAAGTTAAATTCTGTTTGAATGTCTGGTAGATGCCATCACCCATTTGAGCTTCTAAATGCTGTTTGAAAGTCTGGTGGCCATTATCCATTTGAGCTTCTAAATTTTGTTCCCCACAGTTTCCCGGATTCTCACCAAGCTGATCCTTATAAGAATATGTTTCTTTCTTCAATGCAACTTTTTTAGGTCTAGGAGGTGGAAAGTAGGTCCCATGTATATTCCAGAGATCCTGATTGCTAAAAAGTGAGTTTGAAGGATCCTGCACATCTCCTAACCTAACAGATGGGGGAACTGAAGGTAAAACTGCATCATCCTTGTGCTGGTTTCCACTCTTTAATTGAGGATTTGATGCAGGAATGCCCCAAACAGGGGGTTGTGCAACCTCATTATATTCCACCGGCCTGGAATTATTCCCATATGAAGTTTCCACTGTAGAACTAGGAAGCACATTCACCATCTTAATTTGATTTGCATCAACGATCAATGGTGACTTGTCAAGGTTGTTTTCTGGAACCACCCCTTTCTTCTCTACAGCATGCTGAGTGTTGTAATCAAATTTATCATTATTTACAAAAAGTTCAGGATTGTCGATCTTTGGGTTGTCCATCCTTCCATCAATAGGTTTGAGTAGGTCATGTGCTATCCAATTCTCTACAGCATCTGCTTTTGACATTGTGCTAGCTTCATTGGTATATTCTGTTGGACATTGTTGAACCATACACTCAGAACTTTCAACAGATGTGCCACCAACTAAAGGTATATCATTATTAACAGGTTTATTTACAAGCACATCCTCTTTAGCCCAGTTTTCAGCTGGCACCATATGTTGGCGGATGATATCATCTTGATAAGACGGCAGAGCTGTTCCCATCAGCCCATCACTTGTTGACTGTTTTTTACCTGTTCTTACAACTGCTTCCTGGATAACTGCATTCGTGGGATGATCAGACCAGTCCAGCTTTTGTATAAAAATTCTCTCACCTTCAGGCTCCAAAGAGAGTGAAGCTGTGTCAACACAAGATATTCCACCTGGAGTATCCAATTTAGAAGTGACCCTGGGTCTGGTCCCAACTGCTTGCTCAACATTGCCTTCCTTCATTGGTGCAGTGACCCAAACCACATTCGTTGATTGAGCTCTTGAATTGTCCTGCATAGGGAGACTATGGAAACTTGAAGTTGAATCAGGAATTGGACCAGCACAGCTATTACTCTGCTCTTGAACCACAGGATCCGAATGGGCATGAGGCAACTTTTTCTGACACATATAACAGTCCTCCACTCTTTGGACTTTCTCAGGGATCATTGCTGATTGTTGAGGCACAAACACATCAGGAAAAATCACATGCTCGGGTGAAGGAACCTTAACCCAGCCAAAATGACCTCCAAAAGGGACTTGAACCGGATATGCATTGTAACTTTGATCAGCAGGAAGCTGGTAAATCCTTAGCCCTGAAGTATTTTCATCATTATATTGATCCAAAAGGTTTTGCTGTGGTTGCATGAATGGTTGTGGTTGAATAACACTTGGACTTACACCAGCATGAGAAGTTGGCTGAGTCATAGTCATTTGCACTGCAGGGATTACCTGAAGGGAGCCTAAACGAGAAGTGGTATCATGAAACTGCTGTTGGGAGTAGATAGGGCCAGACTTACCTAAAAGGTGGGCATTTGGAAATCCCATATGAGGAGGCAGCTGGACGTAATCTGCATGGTTCACAACTTCATGACGAGGATCAACAAAAGGCTGTAAACGCGCAGGTGATGGAATTTCCAATCCAGACTGCAGCACCCCAAATTGCTGCTGAGAAAAAGTAACAGGTAGAGATTTTTCCAACTCAACATCATTCTGGAAAGGAGGAGTGTGAGTTGGGACAGAATTAGTCACAGGAATGCCCAATGAAACTGCAGAAGCATCTGAGTAAATTGATGCACCTGGCTCAGAAACCACAAAATTTGCAGTAGTGTCATGAGAAGCAGCTGCATTCCCCTCAGGTGATAAACCGCCAGACTGTGGTACAGGTACCACACTGACATCTCCTTGAGTAGCATTTGAGCTATCAAGAGCATCTATGCCGCTCAAATCAGAATTTTGGGTAGAAGTTGCACTTGCATAACTGGCTTTCCTTGTGAGTTTACCACCAATCCCATCCGAAATTCCATTCACAGCTTCAACATATTTCAGCCCACCATCATGTAAATTTACAAACTGTACCACACCAGAAGGATCAAGTTCTAAAGAAGAGAATAGAAAAACCCTTAGTTTAGGCGAACCATCAGGAGACCTCTCAATTAATCTCTCATACTCCTCCATCATGTTTTCTAGATCGTCGGGGCAGGAAACCGAGACCAGAGCATCAAGATCCTCATCTGGGAGTTGATATTTGATAACCACAGGTTGCCCAAAAGTATCAACCATCTTTTGCACCAAATCGTTGAAGCTCACATCTCTCTTAACACTTATGATCCTCGTTTGACCTCCAACATATCTCAGCATTCCATCGCTTGGCCTAGGCAAAATTTTCCCCCCGTAACTGCACAAAAGCTTCATCTTTCGCCCGGAAACTGAATCATCCCCACCCTCCTCACTTGCCTGATCAACCCGCTGACTAGCAGGGGGATTTGAACCAACCCCAAGTGCCCCGACACCAACAACATTATCACTAGCATTGCCAATTACTCTGCTATTTCCCTGAAGACCGTTATTACTACTAATATTATTATTACTCAAGCCATTACCCGCAACCCAGTTGCCCCCTAAATTCACAGGATACCCATGAGAAGCAGCCACAAAATTACCTGAAACATCAACTGCATTGCCACCAGCAACCCTATTGGTAAAACTAGGAACATGAGAGAACCCAACAGCAGGGCTCACAGAGGAATGGAGAATAGGCATAGAGGGACGAACACACCACGTGGCGGCAGCAGCAGCACCCGAAGCCACATTTCCATACCCTATTCCCACCATGCCAGCATCAGAGACAGACGCAGGGTAGAAAAGGGGCACCGCGCCGGGAACCGTCGTACTCGTCGGCAAAAGGAGTGGCTCTTCGGCCACACTTCGCGCCACGTTCAGCGGCCGCACAGCATCGCCGGGGATGGAGTTTTGGTCAAACGCCATAGCCACGACCGAAAGCTATCGAAAACTCGAAATCGCAAAGAAAACGATAAATCAGTCGAAGAAGAACGCGAATCGAAGACCAAACTTATAGATTGGGGAAGCAATGGATTCACGCATTGTGAACGATGCCCAGTCCTGAAAAACAAAGCCCAAAGTTTAAAACCCTAGTCAAATTGAGAAACACAAGTAGAAAATATAACAAATTCAGAGCGAGAAAGAGAGAGAGAGAGAGTACCGAATGTTGGCGGTGCAGTGTGAGAGTGATAAGAGAGAGAGGGAAGGGGAAAACGTTGTTGAAGTCGGCGGAGTTTGGAATTCGAAAGAGGACAAAAGAAATGGCGTCTGTGAAGGATTGTTCTCTGTAATTAGTAATTGCAGTCTTCACACACTCTGTCTCTGTCTCTGTCTCTGTCTCTGCTTCCTTTTTGTTTATATTTTTTGGGGAATCGAATAACCGTTCGGTTTGAAACAAACATGAGGAGTGGTAGAGAGTAGGGTGCATGCAGTTGGAAATTTTGCCGGGAAAGGGTGAGAGAGAGTAGCGAAGAAGGAACAGAGCAAAATTGAAAGAGAGACGGCACGTGGTCGTGGAGTGGACCGCTTCATGCAGAGCAGAGTATTGAATTTGTGGGCAGAGAAAGCAGAGCAAAGCAAACCCAAACCATTCCAATTTATTTATGCTCACATTTTCGCATCTTCATACGTATGGTAATGGGGCCTCATCTTTCCCCACCAAATCTTTACTCACATCAACCAACTCTCTCTCTCTCTCTCTTCCCCAAATATTTTAATAAACAAATATAAATTCATGAGAGTTTTGTATGAACAATATTATATATTATTAGTGAAATTAGTATTATTAAGTTAAATTCTTATTTAAAAAATAAACATATTTTATCATTGTTTAGTAAATATTTTAATTATTAATTTTTACCAAATAACTTAACTAAATAAAATAGATTAAAAAACTATAAGAAAATAAAAATAATAATAACTTTTATTAAAGTTATTGCATTAATTTGTTTATAAATATTAATTTTATCTATTTAATCATTAAATTAAAAGTTGGGGTTTGGTACTTTTCTAAATGCTAGTGCTTTTTCTCCTTTTGTTTTGTGCGTGTATATTCACAATTGGTGGATGATTTGGCAAGACTTTGAATCGTGGATGAATACTATAATTGTCCATAGGAGATGGGAGATTCCACATATGACTATGACTTTACTAAGAATACATAATTTCATGTCCCCATTTATTCTTTTCCATCGTTCCTTAGACAATACAATAAATAAATAAATAACCCCATCTTCAAGTCAAAGCTTGAGCCCTATACACGTTACTTTACACCATTTTTTATAAATTAATTCAATTTAATTGTAAATTTTGAATAAAAAAACAACACAAAAATTGAAGAGAAAATGAAAGTAATTTCTTATTATATTATATCAACTTTCAGTTACTTTTTTATATTGATTCCCAAGTGACTTGGTCTAAATATGAACGAAAATTCTTTATGTTGCCTAAAGAAACCAAATAAATTGAGTTGCATATATAATAAAAAACATAATTAAGCCTATTATTTTCATTTTCATTCTTTTGTTATCTTATATATTATGAAGGAGAAAAACAACTTTTTTGGAAATTATAACAAAAAGGAAATTAACTATTCTTCTTTCATTTTATTTTTCAAATATTCAAAAGAAGTATCACTATATACAACATTATATATATAATTAAATTTTTAATTTTTTATGTAAATGAAATTAAAATGATTATCCTATTTTATTGTTAATAAAATATTTTCCTTTTCTATCCAAGTCAAAAGCAGAAGTCGGCAGTCAAGGTTCGTAGGGTTATTTGTTATGGCACACCCTTTTGGTAGGGTTGATAGCCATATGTTGGATAAGGACCTTAAAATTCTATAGTCATTGGATAAGAGATGATTAGAATCCCCCATGTCGGTCAAAAAGACAACAATATCGGATCTTTCTGGGTTGTTTGAAGAGACCAATTACTATGGCACTGTGTGTGAAACCAAGAAAAGGTTGAAGAAGGGGCTCCACATAAACATATCCAAGGTTGTGTCTTCTACTTGGAAGAAGTGGCACATGAAGATTCATATGTTTCCATTTATGCACCCATGATTGAGACAACAGAGCTAGATCTGTTGTAGTTGGTGAAAAACAACACCTAGTTCATCCTACGCGGTATTACAATTTACTCTTCTGCAAAATGAGTAATAAAATGGGTTGTATTGAACATAAATAATAATAGAAAAAATATATAAATATGGATACAATAAATTCTAAAATCTATAAAATATGAAATGGCTAAAAAGACGTTAAAACATTATTTATCTATTAATTATGATATCCTGATCAAATTAGTGCAAATTTAATTAAAATATATAGGTTAAGAATAGCTAACAATTTTAAAAATGATGTTAGACTCTCTTTTTGCTGCATTACGGTGAGGAGAGAGATGCTAATTGCAGTAGTAGCAACTTGGTTCACGATAATATTAGATGTTACAACTATAACTAATGAGATTCATTTTGACATGAATTTGACTTAAGCTCAGCCTCACAAAAAAAGATAGGAAATCATGATGAAAATCAAGGAGGAATGGGAGTTCCTTCTATAATCTAGGCAGAGTAGGGTTTGGAGTTATTATTAGAGGAGTAGTTTTTGTTTTTTTCTAAAGTATGTATCTTCATTTAAGTTAATTTTTTAATTTTAAATTTTAAACATTAATCCTTGAGATTAAGAGTAGTTAATTATTTTAGTTTTTCTTATAAAAAATATAAAAATTTGCTCAAGTTTGCTTGGTAACAAAATTTAAGAATTATAGTGTTACTTAGACTCTCTGAAAGCATTTGGTGTTAGAAGATTTTCTAAGGTATCACAAACATACTAATATTATTTGAAATGTAAGAGTTAAAAGGAAAAAATCATACAAGGATGCTTCCTAGCAATCCACCAAATTGAGTCCATAAAGAGGCTCATTAACACTTTTATTTTAGGGACAATTTGGTCTTGAAAACGAGGCCCAAAATATCTGAAACAGAATAAGCATTATGCCAAGGATTATTTTATCATCATCTTGATAAAATACAGCAAGCTCTTAATCAACAATCATGCACATTCATGATATTGATGTCCACCAAGGTTATATTATTATCAGATACATAGATAGAAAAGCTCAAATCCAAATGTAACTCATTGAAAGGGACTAGAACCTGTTTCATCTTATTCAATATTTTTTAAGAAAACAAATCTCTCGTGTGTAGTGAAGATATATGTTAGTGAAATCCATGTCAGTGGCAAATAAACTCGGCAATTAAAAGTCCAAATCATTAAGTTTTTTATTCATAGAAGTGGAAGAAAAACATTTTGAATAAAATAAAAAGAATGCATGTGGGACTGAAATAATAATAAAAAAAAAAGTAATGATGAAATTTTCAAATATATAATAAAAAGGGACAGCAATAATTTCAATTTTAAAATAAAATAAAATTAGTAATAATAAGTTGAAAAGTGAAATATTTTGAGATTCAGTCCCCTTTTGTATAAAAATTAAAGAAATACATCTGAACTCATATTTTATCTGCCACAAGATTTCCTTTTGATTTTGGGAAAAGTCACTTTAGGTGGATGCGTTTCCTTATAACATGATAGATGAAATAAAAGGATGATGCTTTTATTAAAGTATGCATGAGAATGTAAAATATGATTAGATAATGTGGATGCACTTCCCTTGTAACAGATGGAATAAAGATGATGCTTTTATTGAAGTATAAGATTATTAATTTATGGTTCTTTTAACTTGGCTGAGATTATTATTTTAAAATAGTAAATTTTTATCAAAAAAATATGTGTTTATTATGTTAAAATTATAAAAGTATAAAAAGTATTTTTTTTAAATGTTATTATTAATTATTTAAACATACATTTTAAAATTATAAATTATTTTAATGATTTAAATAAAAATTTTACTCTTTATATTTTAGTAGTTTTTTAATTATTATATTTAATAAATACTTTTTAATTTTTTTTACCGTTCTGATCCAAACTAAAAGTAATAATTCATAGTTTTTTAGTAAATTAAATTAGTAATAAAGACTGAATAAAAATTAAAATTTCCAATATATAAAACTTTAAAAATATTTTATATATATATATATATATATATATATAAGTATAGAAATTATATTAAATGTATGATTTAGCTTTTTTTTTTGTCAAATTTCATTTTGTTATTTTATTTATTTATAGGACGCTTATATTGGACATGGTATCATTGATTCACTGGCTTTGTTTTATTTTCTAATATTTATATAATTTCCAATCTGAAGTAGCATGTGACATGATTGGAAACTTTGTCCTTAACCTTTCAAATATTATTTTGGATAATAAAAGGGGTAGTGATAGCTGATTTTGTGCAATACCCCCAAAAGGGAAATCCATTCAAAAATGAGTTGTTTCTTTCTCCTTTTCATAGACAAAATCAAGTGGAGGACCCCTTCATGGGAGCACATTATTCGCCCAATTTACCTGTTCCACTCTATAATTGTTTTGCTATTTCTTTTATAAATTTATCTTTTATGTACCATAAATTTATAAACTAAAATAATAAAAAAAATATTTTTCTTCCTAAAAATAAACGAGAAAAGCATGGGGAGAAAGGGAATTGTCAGAAGCAAGGGTGGGTGAGTCATGCAAAGTGGCTTTGTTCCATATACATTAATTAAAAATACTATTTTAAAATATTTAAATAAGACTAAAATTAATAAAATAGTTAAATTAACTAAAAAGCACTTTACCATACCCAAAATGTTAAAAATAATAGCAGGTACAAAGAGGGGTTGAGCCAAGTTAAACTTCTTTGAATGGGTAGAAAACAAATCACATGTTTGCTCTGTTCAGCAATATATTATTTTAAATGATTGTGTGAATCTTTATGCAGCCATTGTTGTGACAACCTTGCACGGATCAGTAACTGATGCTATACAAGTCAAAGCATGAAGCAAGAAAAGTCTGCCAAACCAGTGGCTGAATTTTGTCTCCCACTTATCCTGTAAAGTAAGGAAAATGGTTTGTCCACACTCTATCATTGAGTGAAAAGAAAAAGTGAGATGCCATTAAAAAAAAAATTGAAGAGAAAATATCTTCAAGAGATTAAATACTTGGTTAAAATGTAAAAATGAAAACTTGACCTCAAATAACTTGTCATATGCTAATACCTCTTAATTGGGTTTGACAAAAGCAACACAAGTTGCTTTCCAAATTAATTCACCCTTCCACTCTTGATTTTCTCTGTTCAATCATATGTCAGCCAAGCACTACACTACCAGAGACAAGACAAACAATGATATATGGAGCAAAAGTAAAACCATAGCTTATCTACAAGCCAAGGGACAATTTTATACAAGTTCATAGTTGTACATAGACAAAAACAAATAATAAATGGCTGGAATGCTTCCAGGAGTTGAATGTGCTCGAAGGAGACGCTTCCATCAGAGTGGAGGATACATGGATTTACCTTCTTTAGCTTCTCATACATCCACAAGGCGTTCTTCTTTCTGTTTATATGCAAGTAACCATGAATCCCGTTTTTCTTCACTGGTCTGTACCTTACCCAATTCTGTTTTTCTCTCTTTCACTGCTGAATTCCCTTTTCTATGCATTTTATTCATCATTTGTGTTGATGGGTATGCATTAATTTTCCTTCTGGATTTTAATCGAAACAGCAAAGGAGCAATTTGTACCAGGCACACCCTGATGAGAACATGCTAGGAGCTGCCAGAGAAGCCAAACAGAGGTTGGATGACAAGTTCAGAGCACAAAGGATGTCAGAAAACCAAAGGTATAATCCAAACAAGATAAATGTTTTATTTTTCTTGGTTGATACCTGCAACGCAGATCTGATTATCTGATAGAGCAAGCTATGGAGATATAATATAAAATCATTCATGTGCAAAGTTTAAGGATTTGGCTCCACTAAAGTTCAATCCTTGTTATTCCTATTGTTCTATCAAAACAGGAATATTTAAAATTATTTTGAAGTCACAAAATAAATTTTGCAGATTTGAAATAAAAATATATTATTCATATTAATTTATGAATATCTTTCAGTCATGTTTAAGGATTCAAAATTAATTTTATACAGCTTTAAACTAAGCGGGCATTCAGTCAGATCTTTTTTATTCTTAGTTGTTTAAATTATGTTGAATTAGCAGACAAGACAGCATGAGGTGTGTGGAGGGTGGAAGAACAAGCTTAGCAGAATTGCAAACAGAGGTATATGGGTCAAAGAAAAGAGGTTCAAGGAAGTTGAGTTGGATCAAATGGAGCTGGAAAGCCTCAGAACAAGAGGATTGTGCAGTGTGCTTGGAATCATTCAGGGTCGGAGAGACACTAATCAATCTCCCTTGTGCCCATAGGTTCCATTCTAATTGCTTGAAACCATGGTTAGAAAATAATTCTCATTGTCCATGCTGCAGAACCACCATTCTTTCCCTCTAGGTGCAATTGAAGTGAAGAATTTTGACCATGACTAGTAGTTTCTTATGTGACTTTGCATCTTGAGTAGTCAGCAGTTTGAATTTTGAAATTATGACTTGTAAGACAAAAAATTATATATACAAAAAAATAATTAAAATTTATTGTATTCAATAATAATGTATTAAATTACATTGAATTATATAAATTTAAATAAAAAATTATTATATATGATTTTTTACGTGTAATATTGCGTAAATTAAAAAAATTGTTAACTTCATTATCAGAGGTAAGTTTAAGTAATTAATAATGTTATTATAAGAAATGCTGTTACAGTGTAAAGACAATTTATATAAATTAACTATTAAAATATTATAATACAACTTGAAAGTTCAACACCAAATTTATTTTTCTATTGCCGAAAGTAAAATGAAAACTAAGCCTCTTTAAATAAAGATATTGAAATCAAATTTCTCCTTTCATATATCATTAATAGTAAAATAAAAACTTTGGTTATAATGTTATAAATTATAGATAAGTTAAGAAGAAATTGATAAAATTTTCACACATAAACTTAAATTTCAATTTCATCATAGATAACTAATAAAATCTATTCAGTTGGAAAATTAATATGAAGTTAAATTTAAAATATGTATATAAAAAAGAGTTTATTAAGAGAGTTAAATTTTATTTTAATAATTATTATGACAATCGAGAAATATTTTTATTATAAAAAAATTATCTAGATGGGATATTCTCATCATAATCTGACTTTTTTGCTCGCATAGGGTTAATGGAGAAACAAATTCTTTATATGGGCTCTTTCAAAACAAATTTTGTGTCTAGGATGGAGAATGACAGGTGGAAACAGTATCGGAAGATACATGGCTGACACAGGAATTTTTTTTTTAAATTAATAGTGTCGTCAAACTTAGAATCGACACTTTAAAAAATTTTAACGGATGAATTTTTATAACACTGATCTACGATTGCAAACTACACACGTGGAGGTTCTCTATTGTGTCAGAGGTCTCAGATCCGACTTTAGTGTCAGAACTGTGTTTGACGACACCAGTGTTGGCATGTTCAGGACTAGCACACGCCCATTGGTCCACCTGGCAATCTTGCAGGAGGCACGCCGTTCGTCCCTCCATCTCTCCCGCTTCTGCTTCTGCTGTTCATCTTCTTCATTGTGTAAGTGAAAAATTTTAAAAATTTTGGCAAAACAAAAATGCAGAGGAAGAAGGGGCAAGCGGTTTTGCCATTTTTAAAAATTTGGAAGGTAAGAATAAAAGATCGTTTTGTATATTAGATAGAACTATGAAATTTTTTTTGAAAAAATATAATTTCTTGCATCCGTTTTTGTTCCCATTTCAGGAAGATTGCAATCCTACGAAAGGGACTTTCAGTGTGGTCCAGGCTGGTCCAGATTCTCAGCTCAAAGGTTAGTAAAAATTTACATTATAATTTATTTAGTTGTAATTTTATGTATGTAAAAAATAGAAAAATAGGAAAATAGGAAAATATTTAAATTAAAATTTATAATTTTATTGTTATTTATGTAGAAAACTTTATTTAACAGTAAAAATAATGATGATATTATTATTGTTATACAAATATTATTATGTTAAAATAAAAAAATAATTAAATTAAAAAATATATAAATATAAATTAATTGAGAAATATAAAAGAATTAAATTAGATAAATATATGAGGAAGAATTATGTGTGATTATTATTATAAGGTTAATAAAATATAAAAATAATTATAACAACATAAAATTGAAATAAAAAGAATGAAATGTATGATTTACACACTTGACAAAATGAGTTAATACTTTTGACTCAACCACAAAAAATGTTTGATATTTCTTTATTGCATAATGTTTTATTGCCATTTTTACCTTCTCTTTAGAGTCAAATAGTTGTCCAACATACAATGCATCTCCTTGTACCCATGATTGCCACGAATGCAACTTAGAAAAATTCAATTTTTGATCAGGATGTTCCCAATTAATAATAGTGTAGTGTGAATTTATATTCTAAAAAGGTGTTATAGAATCTATATTAAACTCAACTAATGTTAGTTACAAATATTTTACAATTATTATATCATATAAAATTATACCTGTAGATTATCCTTGTATATCGTTATTTCTTTCAGTATTTGAAATATTTATCATTGAATCGAAGTCATCTTCCAAATCAGTATTAAAAGAACTATCTAAAGGAATTTCTCCTTCATCTTCATAGTCATCATCGTACTCATCTTCTTCATCTGTAGATGCAGCAACAAATATTTATTAATAAATTTCAAATTTTAAACATCATATAATTTAAATAAATATTATACATTACTTCCTCCAATTACATACTCTTCTTCATTGTCATTAACATTAACAGTTGGGAGTGATAAATTTAAACATAACAAAGTTTCACCTGAGAAGTTTCACCAACCGTAATATCCACATATAACTTAACTACATTTCTTTGATGTCATTCTTGACGAGCACTTATCGTACAGTCAATGTCTTCATATCACATACATATAAAATTGTGTAGTTTTCATTCCTTGAATCAACTAAAATTTGTGAAATCAGTCTAGAAATTACATTATTATTGCACAATCTTAATTTTGTATGTATTTTTTTTTTCAATATCTCAAAAGTAATTCCACGTTCTATTTTAATCATTTTCTTATTCCCTTCAAATATGATACCTTCATTTCCTTCGTACACTCTTCCATTTCAGTATAAAATAACCACAATTTCAGTCATCCTGTGTATCAAATTAAAAAATACAACTAAAATTATTACAAAAGTTTACCTAAATAAATAGTAATAAAAAATATTACAAAAAATTAAAATAAAAAAAATTTACATTTATATTTTTAATAATATTATATTAACATTAAATAATTTAATTAATTCCTACAAATATTTTTAATTTTATTTATTCATAATAATATTAAAATTATTAATTCAAACTTATTTCTAATAATTAAAAAATTTAAAACAATAAATTAATAACATTTTAACCTGAAATTTCTTCTAACGAAGTTTCTTCAAAATATTTTACAACCGATATACATTCGTCTGCCTATATATATGCATTTTAATTGGATAAAGACTTTTGGATAAAAGCTTGTCTTTGTTTTGTTCAGTGGGTGAAAAAGTGAACGAGATATGTGTCGGCGTCAAGACAACCGATGTAGAGTGAGTGTCGACATTCTTTCAACCGACACACAAGTGTCACCAAAAATATAATCGACACACGTGTGTCGGACCACAACCAGCCGACACCTGTGCCATGTGACATTATTTACAATTAGTGTCGGTATTTTGGTTGCCGACACTTAACAATGTGTTGCCCAGCATATTTTATGACACTTACAAATTGTCCCAAGCAGAAAATTTCTTATCAAACAACCTCATAAGGAGAATTTGTTTCTCTATTAACCCTATGTGGACAAAAAAGCCTCACAATCTAGGTACATAAATTTTTTTATAGATTAAATTCAAGTCCTCATTTTTAAAAGAAGGTATTTTTAATTTATTTTAAACAACATTATGTTTATAAAGTTATTTTTTTATTATATTATGTAGTTTCTGCTGCATTTAATATTTTTTTTTACTTTAGGTACTTTTTATTTTTAAATATTGATATTTTATTTAATTTTAGATTTAATTTATTTTAAAATAATGGTATACTGTATCAAATTAATTTTTTAAATAAATTATAATTTAATATTATTATAATTTTGGGCAGTATTAATTTGAATATAGTTTTTAAATTCTAAATTTTGGCACACTTATTAGTAAAATTTTAAAATATTTTTAATTAAATTTTAAATTTTCACAAGTTCTTTCTTAATTTAAAAATCTTATCTCTTTAATTTACTCCTATCTAATAATATAATAGAATATTTGGTTTTAATAGTAAAAAAATATTTAATCTTGTTAAATTTAAAAATATTCATGGAATATATTTTTTATCTGAAAAATTCTAATTTAATAAGACTCATTCAACATATAAGAAATTCACTAGTTAAATCAAAATCCATGTTAGCCACAAAAACGTCGACGTATAGTCCGCACGGCCCAACGGCTAGTTCCCGCATTATCATGTGACCGTTAGATACAGCATTGCAGAATCAAAATCAAGGCTTGTTCCCAAAGATGCACATAATCATAATTTGTTTCATCTACAAGTTTCACAAAACACCGTTTAGTATATGTTGGCAAAATTTCGGTTCTTTGTTAGAAAATGGTGTACTCGAAGGCACCCACAACGTACTACTCCACTCTCCATGATTCAATCACCTCTCTGTGCAAGACCATTCTTCCATTGGGCCTCAAAAAACGATGTCTTGTCTCCGCAGAACACAAGTTGTGGAAGCTCCAATCCGACAACCTCAAATGGCAACAAGACTCTTTCCATCAGATGTTGAACTTGATGGGTCTTCACCAAGATGATATCCTTTCTGAAGCTGAGGTTTCAGCTTTCAGGACCCATTTGCTTGACACCCTTCTTGCTTCTCCCCCTCCACAGCATGATCATCTCATTATTATCAATGATAAGCTCGTGTTCTTACAGGTTAGTAAGTGTCACAACTTTTCTTGGTGCCATTTATATGTTGTTTAATTAGAACTAAGAAGAATCTTTTGGTTTTGCCAACGTTGTAGTTCGATTGGCATTGGTTCAAATGTTTAAGATTCTGTTACCTAGAGGGACTACATTAATAAAATGAAGGATCGGTCTACCAATGAACGATTTAAGAGTAGTATGTAAATATTTCTTGTAGTTTTTTATTAAAAAAAATACTTTTTTTTTTCACAAATACATTTTTTTCTCTCTCTAATAAATGTCCTAGTACTTTAATTGATAAAAAAGGATAATATGGAGTGGAATAGAATAGAATATATTTAATAAATTCTATTGTTGGCATCACTTGATTTAAATTGAAATGCAACATGATTGTTTAATTAATGCCATAAGCTATTATTTTCCTAAGCTAATTTTTGTTTTGCTTGTTGGGTTGTTGCCAGGAACTTCTTCATGCCAAATGCATATCTGAAGGGGAGTACCATTCTTCAAGAAGGCCTTTGCTTCAGAGACTGGCAGCACAAGGAGGAAAGACTGAAGGCAAGGATGTGATCATTGCAGGGTCAAAACACACAAAACAAAATTCAGAGGAGGAATGGTCAGTGATTGACTTGAAGGATGAGCCATGCTTGATGAACAAAGAGAACTCAATTTCAAAGAAGAAATCAAACCAGGCAGGGAAACAAGTTATTAAAGGAGCAACCTCGGTTTTTAGCTTTGGCTCTTCATACAAACCTGGGAACAACTCTATAGAGAGGAGCATATTTGATTCACCCAATTTACAAGTGCGCTCAGCACAATCAAAAATCCCTCCTCCATCTATCTATACCAAAAATGAAATGAGGCATTCTGAGTTAAACCCCATTTGGGATGGGGCAGAAAAGACTAAGAGGAAACCATTTAGAACTTTGTTTCATAGGGATAAGAATAAGAAAGAGGGGCATGGTGGTGGAGATCATCATGGTCTTGAAGCAAAGGAAAGAGAAGAGAAATCAGCGAAAAAACAGTGGGGGTTTGAAGGGGTGAAGAAATGGAAGAAAAGAGACTTAGATGATGAGACAGTTCCTTTGTCTCTCAATGAGAGGTCTGAATCTGATTGTGAGGCCTACTTGGCTTCCTATCAGCTTTTTTCAAGGGCATGTGATGAGGCATCAGACACCAAGTTAATGCAGAACAAGTTGCATTCTGATGTATCACCCCCCAAAAATGAAAAGGTTTGAGAGACGCTTCCTCTGTTTCAAACTGCAAAATTTTCAAATTTTAACATTGAGCCTAATTTGTTTGCATGAATAAATAGGTTTTGGGGGCCAAGAAAAATGAGCTATCAATAATCCCAACAGAAATCAGGAGCACAAACACAAATCACAACTTTGCGTATGTCTTTTCTTTTCTCAATTTTGTCATTTTTATGTAGTTGCTTGCTTAGAAATGTAGCTATTGCTTACACTATGTTGCACAAAACAGGAATGATCAGATGCAAGCAATATCTACCAAACTTTCAGAGAACAAGGCCGAGTTAAAAAGTTGCTTTTCCAAGTGAGTCAACATAACCGCTCTTATATTTGTTGACCCCCTTATGATGATGCCTTAGCTGTTTTGAAATTGAAATGGTTAAATGTGGCTGGAACTTATTACTTTATTCTATTATTCATGCATATATTTTAACGTGAATCACTTGGCACTAGAACTAATCTATTTTAAAATTATTGTTTACTAATATAGCATCCTTTCCTTTTCTATTTTCCTATTTTGTTGAAGAAGACCATGGTGTGACCAAATGGGGTGGACAACATTTGATGACGATGAAAACCTTCACCCAAATCTTTTTGTACATGAAGATAAATCATTGCGCAGCAGTAGCATCAATCCATTTTCTCATGTTTACGCTTAGATTAAGCTGAGGTCTGGATAAAGGGAGACAAGGGAATTCAAAGGAAACAAATCCTCCTTAGTATCTATATGCTCATTGAGGCCAGCAAAAATACTTGTAACCTGTTTGAATTATATATATAGTATCTAATTATCTATATTTATGTCAATTTCTCCTCTGAGGAGTATAGCATTTAGCATCCATGCATTGTTTGATACCAGCAAAAGTACCTGTAATTTGTAAATAGTGTTCGATATATCTAAACAATATCTATAGACATTGTTAAAAATTTTAGTTTTTACCTATTCCATCATGTATATTATAAATAATTATTGGGTCAAAGGTAAAATTATTAAAGTGCGTTGAATATTAAGGCCAAGTAACCTAAGACCCTGTAATGGGTGGAAACCAAGGTCATTAATATTACATAAGATGGAGATATTTTCTCCACTTTTATGATGGGTTCAACAAATTGATACGGATTAAAACAATCTTCAAAAAGTACAAAATTTACCATAATCATTGTGGTGTCCTAAATTCATCCTATCAACTCTTACAATGGAGTGTTAATAGCTTGGACCGGCGAAAGTACTCGAATTCCATTGTCATCATTAACGGCTAACTTTGGTAATTTAGGGGAAAAAAAAAGCTTAGGATTAATTGAGAAGTGTAAAGAATACTTGAAAAAACAATTGAAGATTCTGTAATTGCTTAAAAAATCTTAATAGAACATCTAAAACTAAAACTAAAATTAAAAACAGAGTAGGATGAAAAGAAAATTTACTATCAAGTGTTTTGATAAAACTACTTTTTTAAAAGCATCTATACGGTGGGCCAAAAAAAACATCTATGAGAAGACGGAGAGTTTTTAAAAGTCTTTTTACATTTCACAATATAAATAATTAATATTATTGCATTATAATATAATAACTACTAAATTACAATAATAACCATCATTCGAACAATATTATAATATGATCTACAATTAATTCAAATAAAGCATTGTGAAAGTAATAGCAAAAACAAATATTTTATTATAGTTATTTCATCATTAATTACATTGAATAACAAATTTTTTTATTTCACATTAACTTAATCTTTTAAAGAAAATTAAGTGCTTTAAATATTAAATAATAGTATTTTATTTTACTTCTGTAGACTTTCACATGATCTTTAAATTTTTAAAAGACTTATTTAACATAAAAATTCTTTTAACAATTAATGTGAAATAATTTTAAGAAATTAAATAAATAATTTGACACAGAGTAATTAAATAAATCATTTAAGAAATTTCTAATATTATAATTAATAAACTTTAAATAATTAATATCAGAAATTGAAAATTTCAGACAGAACAGTGTACAGGTACAAAACTACAAATCTTGTAATAATAATAACAATAAGATAATTCCGCTTGAATATTGAATTTTCGGAGGGCATTTAGGAGAAGTTCAGGTCTGATCTGGACACAAATTTGATGTTAGGCGAATACGTTTTTGACCTGCAATCCTCAGATTCAATGTCTTACCATTTTCTACATTCCTTCATCTTTCTGCAATTCTAAGGTTTCCCCGTTTCCCAAATCTGTTATCATATGTCACTGCTATTTTGCGAAACTTTTGACACTTTCCTTCCCACCAAAACCACCTTCCCTACCTTTTAACCCCTGCTTCAACTTGCGTGGTTTTTTCCCCACATAAGAACAAATTTCTGATTTCATGCCAAAAATCGTGTCTTCATGCGGTTATTGTAAGCACTTTTAATCATTTGGTGTGCAATTCCAATATTCTTGGATCCATTTTTTACATTCTTCAGATCATAAATTCCAATATTCTATTCAGCTTTGAAAGTAAAAGGATAAACATTTGATCTCTGTGTAATTATGCTAGATTAGATTAGATTATATTCATTGTGTAGACTAGAATCCTCATGAATGAGAATGCAATCCAAGAGTTTGAGCCAAGCTCCAGCTCTCACACTCTTCCCTGGTCTGAAACCCCCTCACAAAACCCTACTATTCCACCAAATCTGTGTTCTTGTCATCACATTCCTTGCTTATGCATCCTTTCATGCCTCTAGGAAGCCTCCCAGCATTGTTAAGAGTGTTTTGGGACCCACAATTTCATCCAATGAAACTCAAGTTGACAACTTGAGTTCCAATGATGCAGGTTGGGTCCCTTTTAATGGAACCCGGGGCACTCACCGGCTTGGTGAGCTTGATCTTGCTTTTCTTACTTCTTACTCCATTGGCATGTATTTGGCTGGTCATGTTGGAGATAGGATTGATTTGAGGTTGTTCCTTGTTTTTGGGATGATGGGCAGTGGCCTTTTTACTATACTTTTTGGGTTAGGGTATTGGTTAGACGTTCATGTGTTAGGGTTTTTTGTTGGTGTTCAGATTGTTTGTGGTGTGTTTCAGTCAATTGGGTGGCCTTGTGTTGTTGCAATTGTGGGGAATTGGCTTGGTGAATCAAAGAGGGGCTTGATAATGGGGGTTTGGAATTCGCATACCTCGGTTGGGAATATCATTGGTTCAGTTGTAGCTTCAGGGGTTTTGGAGTTTGGATGGGGTTGGTCATTTGTGGTGCCCGGGCTCCTGATCATTTTGGTAGGGATTTTAGTGTTTTTGTTTCTTGTTGTGAACCCAGAGGATATGGGATTTGTGCATCCTGGAATGGACATCGAAATGAGTGCTGAAACACACAGTGCTGAGAATTTGCAGAAAGTGGAATCTGAGGAAGCAAAGCTTATTGAGTCTGATCATTCAGATTCTTCGTCTGCTATTGGGTTTTTGGAAGCATGGAAGTTACCCGGAGTGGCTCCATTTTCTTTCTGTCTCTTTTTCTCGAAGCTCGTGGCTTACACTTTTCTGTACTGGTTGCCCTTCTACATAAGGCACACAGGTAATTTTCATTATATGCACAAACATATGATGTCAGATAGAGTTGCATTGTCTTTTATCTCGCTTATTATTCATATCCAATTAGTTTTTACCAGTGGATCCATCTTCCTAATACAGTGTCTTAAGGTTTGGTACTAGGAAATTGGAATGCTTGTCTGAGAGTACAGTTATGCGATGTATCTTTAGGCAGTTGTGGATATGAATATTTGTATTTACAGACTATTTGTGTCTTCAGGCAGTTATGGATTTGTGTGGCGGGTATTGTGTGGTGTTTTATATCTATGTGGCGTAGCAGTTTGCATAGTTTGTATTGAGTTTGCTTGAGAGAGAAAGACTCTTTCGGGGCTTAGATCTGTGCATTGTGCTTGCTGGCTGTACTAAAATTCTGATTTAATCCAGAATATATAGCATGTAAATATCCAGATTGTGTGGGTAAACTTAAGCCTAACATTGTTCATATGTCTTCTTTCATGATCTTTATTTATTGGTAACTTGGTGTTCATTGCAGCTGTCGCAGGTGTGCATATATCTAACAAAACTGCTGGATTACTATCAACAATATTTGACATTGGGGGAGTCCTTGGTGGAATCACAGCAGGTTTCATTTCTGACATGATTGAAGCACGTGCTATTACTTCAATCATGTTTTTGTTTCTGTCTATTCCAGCTCTTGTTTTGTATCGTGCTTTTGGGAGTCTCTCTATGTTGACCAACATCCTTTTGATGTTTCTTTCGGGGTTTTTGGTGAATGGTCCCTACTCACTAATCACAACTGCAGTGGCTGCCGATCTTGGTACACAGAGCTTGAATGGTCGGAATTCTCGAGCGCTGGCTACTGTTACTGCAATCATAGATGGTACTGGTTCTGTTGGAGCTGCCCTTGGGCCACTTTTGGCAGGGTATATTTCAACTAAGGGATGGAACAGTGTCTTTTTTATGCTCATTTTGTCTATTTTCTTTGCTGGTTTATTCTTGATTCGTGTTGCAAGAACTGAGATAAGAGAGAAGCTTTCAGGAAAGTGATTTTAGGTATTTAGAAACACATATTTGAGTTTTAGTTAGGCTCTTTATTGAAGATACACAGATCTTAGCTATTGGTTGAGAAATTGCTGAAAAGCTTACTGAATGTTTGTGTCTTGTGCTCATTCGTTATTCACTTATTGTATACACACATGTACAAGATTGTCCATTGTGACTTAATTCTGGACCTTTATGGTTTTTTACCGTACAAAATATCAAGTACCACTACCTTCTGTCCTACTAACAACATGATTCTAGTTTAATGTTTGAACAATAATTATTAAGAGCAAAGATATATAGCAAAAGATTTCTTTATCTCATTACATGAGAAATGCCCGCGTGAAAGAATATCTAAAATGAAAAGCTTTACGTTAACGGTTATCAACTATTTAAACCAATGAAAAGTAAGAGTAGAATGTTACAACAATGATATGCACAAATAATTGGTCCCATACATTACTTTATTTTTCTCCATCAATCAGTTCCTAATCACATTGGGAAATATTAATTATAATGTTATAAATTTTATTGGAATTTTAGCGCCTCGCTTGTCTTTCTCTATCCTCCGCGGGCCGGGACTAGGTTATTCATTACCTCTGTATCTGTGTGATTGTTGAATATCTGTGCATAAGTACAGTTAAAAAATATATATTAAACCGTTTATTTGCAGACAAAAATGCTTTATACTTTTAGCAGGCGTTTAAGATTCTGAAGTCCCTCAGCAGATATGCTTCTTCTTACTCGTGCTCTTTCAACAACCACAGGTGGTGGTGGATCCGAGTTAAAACATACCATAACAACTGTCAAATTGTCTGTTGATCCTCTCTTGATTGCTTCTTGTACTATTTCCATGCAGCATAGTTTCTCATCATTATGCTCTTGAAGCCTCCTTCTAGCAAAATCTACAGCATTTTGGCAACTAAAAACATCCCATATTCCATCACTAGCAATTAGCAAGAATTCGTCTTCTTTGGTCAATGTCATCAATTTAAGCTCAGGTTCAGCACTTAGTGGTCCACCCCTTTCATTCATTTCCTTCATTCCTTCAAGGTGCCAGTCTCCAAGAGCACGGGTGACACCTAATTGGCCATTCAGGTAACCCTCAACAATAAATCCACCTAGGGACTCAATCCTTATCCTTTCCTCGATGCAGTTTGGGGTATGATCTTTGGACATTTCCATAGCCCTTCCATGATGGGACAAGACAGCTCGGCAGTCTCCAGCATTGGCTACGAGTAAAGACCTGCACAAAGAATGAAAAGGGCAATGTTACATTAGCAACAAATAATGAGACAAAAAGATGAAATAGACATGTAGATAAATTTGAGTAGAAATACATCCCACGGTTGTGAAGGACAGAGAACAGTGGAGACAAGTGCTCACCTTCCAGATATAATTGCAGTTAGTGCAGTTGTACCAGAAGAAAGGGAAGGCTCATGAGAGGATGCTTGTAAAAATGCAGCATCAGTCTCCAAAAATGACCTTTTCATTACTTTCTCAAGCTCCAAAGGAAAGTTAACATCCTCAACAATAAGTCTTGGCAGATGATCACGGACAAATTGTGCAGCACTCTTCCCTCCATGTCCATCAAATACCTGCACATTGGACCATTTGTCTTTCAGATGTCAAATACTGATTAAAGGTTGAATATCCTGCTATGAAGAATAGCTAAGAGGTGTTTGTCCTCTTATATCATTGTTTCAGGGGATGACAGTGAAGAAGATCGAAGACCAGATCTCAACTTCAAATTTCTTACATGGAGCCGTCCTCAATGCTAATGGCATCCTCTTCAATTATTTAACAATAATAAGTGAATATCAGCTGTATAGGTTAATGGAAAATGAAAACTAATAGCATCATATAATTTGTTGTGGTCATGGGTATCTATGAGACTCCCTTCTTTTTAAGTTATTCTTCAATAGATGCAATAAACTCTTCAAGACTCACTAGCTAGTCTAGATATAGTGATGCAACAAGAATGTTTAAATTGTCCATGCATTATCACAAAAACAAATAGCTGCAGAAGAATTAAAATAATTAATTGAAATTCATGACAACAGGCATTTGGCATAATGAGGTAGATGACTTACACCATAAAAGGAAACGGCTTCCTCAGATAGTACGTTACTATTAAACTTCTTAGCCAAATCTCCAATGCATATGTGAGTATCCTCCATGTGAGGGCGTTTTCCAATATCAGACCACTCTCCAGACCGAAGCGCTGGGACAAAATTCATCAGATTCTGTTTCTTCTCCGCAACCACTGCGTCCTCAAATATGCTTTCCAGCTAAATGTAGCATAGAAGAACAAGGGAGTTAAGATGATAGGAGCAGAAACACCGGGCAAGTTAGGAAATATAAAATGCTAAGCAAACTCAAGAAAGCAATAAAAAAATCACTCTCAGATATACAAAATATAAAATATAAATAATGTTGAACCAAAAATGAGGTTTGTTTTCAGGGCTAATTCCTCAAGTTATTTCCTGTCATCTCAAGAAAGGTATACTAATGGAGAACATCAACAAATTCTGTTGATAACAATCAAGTAGAAATGAATACAATAATAAAGGAAAACAATTTAGTTGCCAGCTATGCGAACTGATTCAGTCGGCAACACAATTATTTCATAAATAGCTGTCACAACTACTTCAAAGTTCAAACTAACACCATCTACCCTTCAAAATCACCTGAGAGAAAATCCTTCATTACATATAACCCTGTCATCAGATCATTGCTCCACAATTCCTTCACAAGAGAAGGAAAGTTATAGTAACAAAGAAAGGAAAACTTATATTTCATTTGCGAGGAAATTCTCTTCCACCTAGGAAACATAAAAATCACCAATGGAAAGATGAGGAAACCTATGTCAAATTAAAAATATATATATATTAAAAGATATAAGCCCAATTTAAGTAAACTTCTAAAAAAATTCAAATTCTTATACTTAATATAGAATTTTTTTTACAATCGATTTTTATTTCTAGAAATTTAGAAAAGGACCATGACAACAATAATAATAAGAAAAACTGAAGAAGATTGATAAAGAAGAGGAGGACAACTCTTTTCAAGCCATGTAAAACATTATTGAACTTGATTGAAGAAGTTTCTACAAAAACTAGCTCATTACACATGTAGAAAAACTAGGCCTAACTCACTTCTAAATAGTAATTCATAAGAGAAGGATTATCCAACGGTTATAACGACTATTCTAGCAGACGCGAAAGTCTTAACAGCGAAAGAAGAAAAAGAGCACAATGGAGAAAGTTGACCAAACAAAAGGAAAAAACATATAACGATAGAATAGAAGAACAGGGGATACTTACAGGACGTGAGTTTTGAGCAGTGATATTGATGTCACTTGAAGTTCTGAGAAAAGATTCAGTTTTGTCCATCAGAAAAAGATCACAATGCAAAGGCCATGAATTGGTTGCGCTATTATTGTCCATATCTTGAACAACTTGCTCTTCGTCTTGCACACACATGGTGACACCAGCAACTTGTCAATGTGGAATGTAACAAATAAGACCCTTTGATCTAACTTCGTGTTTGTGGCTTCTGCTAAAGAAAAAGATAGAGAGACAAGATTCTGAGAATATGTTGAAAAAGTGGAGAACAAAACAGACCAGTATGTTTAGAGTTTTGTGTCAGTGTGAGGGACACGAAAGAGAGGAAAACGTTGCCATAAACCTTTTAGAAGAAAATTTAAATATAAAATATAATAATATCTTCTTACAACTTAGAAACTCGAGAATTTTTTGTGAAAACGTGGCTCAAAATGGGTTTATCAGGTTAACAGTAGCATGATTGTTACTGTTTCTCATATTCTTATGAAAATCTTAGTCACCAGCTTATAAATCTCCCTTTTCCTCTCTTACGAGTATCATTACTCTTTTCTTTTAAGAATAGAACTCTGCATCAGTTTTTTTAATATATTGATTTAAATTTATAAAAATGCATGGAATTATGTAACTATCACCTTTTATGTAAAAAGAAATCGCTTATAATTTTGTATAAATTTTAATTAATAATAAACAACTTGCTAAAATAATATATTATTACCACTTTCAGTAGAATTGTAATTAATGCTTGAATATATATATATATATATCACTTTATATTTGTATAATTATAATTAAATTAGTATTTTTGACTAAATGTTTTCTATTTTGAGCGCGGGTTTTCGTCAGTAAAAAAAAACGTATTTGTGTGGTACTTTTTGAAACGTATCAATAAGCTATAAATGTTTTAATAAAAAAGATATTTTTATGTTTTTAGTAAATACTCAATGTTTAAAATTGTATTTAATATTAAGGATAACTAAAATACCTACAAATTACTAGAAAAATCCTATTTTAGTAATTAAAGTAAATTTTAGTACCTTTTTACAATTAAAATACTTAAATTTATACATTTTATAATTTAATTTATACTTTAAATATTCTAAAATGATCTTTTATTAATTAAAATATACATGCATTACATAAGTATTTATACTACAAATATAAATTTTAAAAATATTTGAGAAAATATTATTTTATTTAATGAAGGCTTATTTTACTGATAATAAAAAGAAATTAAAATATAAACATACCAGAATTTGAGACTTTTAATTTTGTAAATATTTAAAATTTGTTTAATCAAAAGAATATTATTTGGTTGTTATTTGCAAATATCTCATTAAAGTTAATGTTGATTAATTTAAAATTAAATGCTATTAAAAAATTATGAAATAATAAATTTTATTTAATTAAAAAATTTATTAAAAAATAATATATATTTTTTTTACCAATAGAAATTAGTTCAAGTAATAAGTGTCTTGGTATCACTTAAGCAAAGTTTCAAATTTAAATTTTTGTGCATACAAAAAATCTCACAAAATTGTTAGCCAATAAAGTAGGAGCATGGCTACATGAGGAAAAAAAAACGTTTAAAAAACATTTTAATTTGAAAAACATAAAGGTGTGCAAATTATTATTATTATTATTATTATTATTATTATTATTATTATATGTAGATTTATACTGTAATTAAGTTTTTATGATAAAAAATCTTTCAAAATTTATCACATTTTTATTAAATTTCTCGTTTGTAAAAGTTTCAAAATTATTTCTTTCAATTTCATTATAAATAAAAAATAATAATAAAAATTAAGCCTTAATTTTTTAAAAATATAAGTAAGAGACCTAAAGCGCACACAATTTAAATTAAAAAGATAAAAATACAATTAAGCTTTATTTTTTTAAAAAAAATTATGCAATTATACTTACGATTAGAAATAGATTAGGGCCTCTCTAAATAGGTCCCATTTAAAATTATTAGACTGATAAATATTTATTAGATTTAATTATAATCCATTAAGACTATAACTTTTATATTATTAATTAATTATAAATTATTAAAAATGATTAAATGCTATAGTAATTATTTGAAAAACCATGGTTAGTTTATCATTTAATTAGTAGATTACATTAAAATGTAACAAACAAGTTAAAGGAAAGGTAGAATTAAAAATAAATAAATGAAAACAGTGTCATCCTTATATAAATGTTGCCAACGTGACAAATGAGAATGTAATTAACATATTAGAATTCAATTATATGCGAATTGTATAATAATGTATTAATGTATGTGTGGGAAATCCCTAAGATTAACAGATATCGCAAGTAAATAAACATTTTTCAATTCATAATAAAGAAATTGTTGAGTGGTATTAGGTGTACCCTCTACGCGTTTGAATCCAAGGTAGCCAGCAAACACCTTTGATCATTTCTGGCTTTCACACTTGGCTTTCATGATAGGAACTTACATAATAATAAAATAATAAATAATATTTTTTTATATTAAAGATTACAATTTCAATATTATATTATATAATTTTAAATGAAATTTTGTTATATCTAGCTTTAAGGACTTGTTTAAAAATAGAAACATACTATATTAAAACACGTGTTCTATTTTTTACTTAAATAAAAGAATTAAGAGTGGTGATCACTGATCAGCATTATCCACAAGGGAGCTGCTGTCGGTAGTATGCTCCAAACCATCTATTTAATGACTCATTACACATTTGTTTAGAGTTTTCTTTAGAAACATTTTTTTTAAGATACTTTACGCTGCATAGGAATATTTTCTTTTATAAAATTTATGTTTTGTCTTTCCACTTTAAAATACTTCTTTTTAATTTCTTTTAAATATGTTTCTTTTGTTCAAACGTTGAACTCACTGTGAACCTCTTTGTTTTCAAATTTGACATAACTTCTTATGATATTTAAATCTCAAAACTAAAGCATAATTTTATTTTATATATTTAGTTATTTGTATATTTTAATTGGCTCATGTTTAACTTAATATTAGATTCTATTGTTCTCAATTGGGAGTGTTTGACTATTTTTTTGTGATATACTTAATTGGGTCTTTATTGTTGAATTTGTATTTTAGTATTTTTTCTTAATCTTTGTCCAGTACCTAAAATTAGTCGATCATATCTAGAGTAACATATGTTTCTCTTCTCTCAAATGTATTTTTATTTTCAAATTTATTATTTGAATTCATTACCTGGACTTCAAATTACACAGTGAACATTTTGAATTTTTAATTAAGGTCATGAATATAAAAGATGCTTAATCTTGCATCTTTTATTGAGAATTATAGACAATAACTTTCTTTAATTGTTGACTTGATAAATTTAAGATATGCTTTGATCACTCCATTTTGGTGGGTGTTTTAACCCATAAAGTTCGGTGTAATACATACGTTTATTTAGATTAATGTCACTCAACAAATTCAAGGCCATTGTCACCGATCCTCTGTGCCTTGAAAAAGCCACCGGAAGTTTTCTCCATGAACTCCTGACAAGACGAGATTGTCACCCATGTATTGAATTTTAACCATGGACCTGTCAATTACGAAATGTTCATGCAAAGTGAAAGCCTTGCCTAGGTCAAGCACCCCTTTCATGTCTTTTTCCTCCACACAAAATATAATTCTTTCCCATTTTTCTTCTATCCCATTTGATTTTTGCTTCACACGTACCTCACTTTCAGCCTCCTTTGCCCTCTATTTCACTTGGTCTTTCTGACCTTCATAATTGCTTGGACAAATGATAAGTTCTCTTTAATTTTTCTCCTCCATTCACCTTAACCTTTCACTCTTTGAGGATGATGCTTCTTGTTGTACTTTGTTTCTCCCCATTTTATTTGTTCTACTTTTCTTAGTTTGTTCCTCTTTCTCATATTTAGGGTTGCTTACATGCAATTTCATTTCTCTTAGACTTGGTCTAATTGCCTCTTAATTTGGATGGTTCTATTATCTCCCTAAGCCATACTTTTTTTATAGGTATGAAAACCTCCCTATCCTTACATGGTTTCTAAAATAAGCGCCACATCTCTTTAGTTCCAAACTTGTCTTGAAAGTTTGTATAGTATATAGTTGCTCTTGTCTCTGTGTGTGAATGAACCTATATGTTGTAGACTACGGTGAAGCCATGCTCCTGAAAAAGATTTCTCCCTATATATAGTGGTTCCACGTACTTTCAATTTGTGTGTTTTGGTTGGTAAGAGTATGGTGTAGGTTAGATTTGTGTCAAAGCTCACCACTTGAAACTTAATAATTCTATTTCAAAGCATTAAAAATCGTGCCTAATATTCATTTGTTGAAAGATCTATAAGTCTCATGTTGATTGATAATAAGAATAATTAATGGGATATAAACAAGAGTTGCGGAAGTCCTTAAAATATCTAGGATAAAGTGGCAATTTCAAATCCAATCTCGAAAAAGGAAAAAAAAAAGAGAGAGACTAATCCAGTCTTCCACAATGCAAAAATTAAATAGAACTCATTCATAAAACAAACATGGTATTATATAGCCCATATGACCTCATTGTTCGTTGAAAATCTAAGGAGAGAGTTGCTGTGCAAGAGTTAAAGCTCAAACAAAAAGGAGAAAAGGGTGTAGTAACAATAACTTGGGCAAAATTTTATATAATCTTAGTTTCTAAGACTTCATAAAAGTAACACAAGCCTGAGGATAAATGAAGGCAAACTAGTTGGCCTCTACTCAAAATTAAACTATGCGCTTAAAATAGAGATTAAAGATAGAGATACCAAATCCAAATCATAAATATTTTGGATAAAATTAATCCCTTCTTTTGCAATGCGACGCGTGTGCATAAGGCCCTTCATAAAATCTTAAATCATTCAATAATAAATCCTCACATCAAAGTTATAATTGCTTCTGATAAACGACAGTTGAAATCAATTTTTATGAGCAACAAAATCACCTTCACACAAGGTAGCCAAAAATTATTGTCTACTTGTCTTGAATCTATTACAGGTGTTGACGTTTTCGGAACATTGCATTAGTAGGTTTCTACATATCAATTATAGCTATGACACAGAATACAATTGATAGGAGCCATTTAAGATGCAAGATTTTGATCGTGACAAAAGGTGTTTCTCACTATGATTGTAGCAACATAAAAGGA